TCTTGAGAACTTTAAAGTGAGATTGGGTAAAATACTACAAATGGTAGAGGTTTCTATCTTAAGCCTTAAAAAAAAAATAATAGGTTGTATTTTTAATTTGAGAATAGTGGATTGAAGTCTTGGTGTAGACAACCAATAAAAGAGGACGTAGGTGCCTTGTGAAAAATGACCGAACTCTATAAATCATTGTGTTTGATTTCTTTATCCCTATTTCCTTACAATTTATTGTTGTTTATATTTGATGTTAGATTCATTAATTGTTATTATTTACATTATATTTTCATCAAAAGTGCTTATTGTTTTAATTTTCATTCATCTATATTGAAATCATTTGTTTGAGAAAAATTTGAAAAAATCCAATTCACCCCCCTCTTGGATTATCATATAACCTATAAAGCTAACAAACATTTTTGTAAATTTGATATGGAATCAAGTTAGATCGATTTTTTTTATAAAAAGTAAAAATGAGTTAAAAGTGAATTTAAAGTGCTTTGCTTCAAGCACCTCATGAAATATATAAAAGCATATATTTTATTATTTATATATTATATTAATAAATTTATTATTTTACACTTTACTTTAAAAATATTAATACTTTAAATCCAATTTTGATGTTCATAAGGCACCTAAATGATCTCCCTTTTCATTTTTCTTTTTAATTTCTCTTTTTGATTTTTTACTTTTTTCAATTTTTTAATTAATTAAATAATTGCTTTATTTTTTAAATTAAAAAATAATAATATTTTAAATTTAATTGGGATGTCCACATAATACCCTAATGAACTTCTTTTTCCTTTATTGTGTTTTTTATTTGTTTTTTATTCATTATTCATTTTTTGTTTTTTTATTTTTTTATTTTATGCCTTTTTATTAAATTAATACTGTGAAAAAATAAGGCACCTTATTTTGCTTTTTTTTTGTTTTGTATTTTTTAATTTTTCATTAAATAAATTTGATAACAAAGGTATCAATTAATAAAGACATTAAAACAATTTGTATATAATAGATTTTGAATTCATATTGACTTAATATAGGCTTAATTTTTAAAATCATTATCGAATTGGGGCTAGTTGAATTTTTTTATGGGATATGAGAACAAAGCAAAAACGTGTTTAAAGTGATTTGTCCATACTCATTTCGAAGTATATTTAAAAGTATATATTATATTTTTATTTTATTTTATTTTTATATATTATATTAATAAAATTATTATTTAATATATTAATTTAATAAAATATTATATTTTATACATAATTAAGGTATAATCCATTTATCCAATACATACATTTTACTTATTTTGACTTTTGTTTAATCTTCAAATAAAGTATCAACGTGATACTTTATTTTTTTTGATACTTTTTACTTTTTTTAATTTTAATTTTTTGATTTTTATTTAGATAAAATTATCAAAAATCTATCAAGATGATCTTACGACCCCTTAATTTTTTTCTTCTTTTATTTTTTTAATTATAAAAATTTTAAATGTAAAAAAATCGATAAATAGATAAAATAATTCATATCCGATGAGTTTTAATCTAACTCAATTCGATACCAACTTTATTTTTAAGTTATTTTTCTTTATTATATTTTCAATCAAATAAATTTTTAAAGAAAATAATGAAATGGAGGTGTCCCCATAGTACCTCATTTCTTTATCTCTTTTTATTTTTTTTTAAATATTTTTTCATCAGACTAATTTTATAATAAAATGAGTCAATTAATAAAGATAATAAAATAATCAATATTTAATAAATTTTTATAAGATATCAAATCAATTCGAGTTAATAAAAATTAAAAATATATAAAAAAATAAATTAGTAATGCTCTTTTTCAAGTCATTATATGATATATAAAAATATATATTTTATTACATATTTAATTTTATATTTATATATATTTATTAATTATTTTGTTGAATTTAAGTGGCTCCATACATGTAAAAATAAACTAAAAAAATTTATTTTGTTTAAAATATATTGTTAAAATAAAATTCTAATTTGTATATAATTTATATGTACGTATCACTCTCACTCTCATTTTGATTTTGATTTTTTTTTAAATTTTTTTAATTAAGTAAATTATATTTTAAAAAATCGACAAATTTAGATTGGCAAAAACAAGTTTTTGGGCGACTCGTGAGTACCCAGCTAATTATCAAGTATTAAACAAAACCTCGTTTCGGATGTCTCGCATTTTCTCACTGCACTAATTTACTCAGGCTGATACAGCAATTTAACTCTATCCGCAATGCAATGCGCCGTGGAAGAAGCGCCATTTCTGTGCTATCCTCTCGTCTCCTCAAGAACCCATCAATCCACTTGGGCAACATCCTCCTTATCGCCTCTCTCACTAAAACCCTATCAGAATCCGGATCTCGAAACCTCGACCCCAACTCCATCCCTCTATCCGAGCCTTTGGTCCTCCAAATCCTCCGCAAAAATTCCCTCGAGCCGTCAAAGAAGCTCGACTTCTTTAACTGGTGTCGCTCTTTTAAACCAAACTTCAAACACTCGGCCGTCACTTACTCCCACATTTTCCGGACCCTTTGTCGATCTGGGTTCGTCGGGGAAGTCCCTAATTTACTGTTTTCGATGAAGGAAGATGGTGTTCTTGTTGATTCTGAGACTTTTAAATTCTTGCTTGATGCTTTTATTCGGTCCGGTAAGTTTGATACTGCCCTTGAAATTCTTGATTATATGGAAGAATTGGGTGCTTGCTTGAATCCTAGTGTTTATGATTCGGTTCTCGTGGCTTTAGTTAGAAAAGACCAGGTGGTTTTGGCTTTATCCATATTTTTTAAGCTTTTAGAAGCTTGTAATGGGAATGATAATGGGAATTCTGTTGTTAGTTCACTTCCTGGTTCCTTTGCAATTAATGAGTTGTTAGTTGCTCTCAGAAAAGCTGATATGAGAGCAGAGTTCAAACAAGTTTTTGATAAATTGAGGGGGAGAAAGGAGTTTGAATTAGATGTATGTGGTTATAATATATGCATTCATTCTTTTGGGAGCTGGGGTGATTTGGCTACTTCTTTGAGCCTCTTTAAAGAGATGAAGCAAAAGGAAAAGAGTTTGAGTTCTGGGTCGTTTGGTCCAGATTTGTGTACCTATAATAGTCTCATATACGTGCTTTGCTTGGTTGGGAAGGTTAAAGATGCCTTAGTTGTGTGGGAGGAATTAAAAGTGTCTGGTCATGAGCCAGATGTGTTTACGTATAGAATTCTTATTCAAGGGTGCTCGAAATCATACAGAATAGATGATGCAACAAAAATATTTAGTGAGATGCAGTCTAATGGATTTGCTCCTGATACAGTTGTGTATAATTCTCTTCTAAATGGATTGTTCAAGGCCAGGAAGGTTATGGAAGCATGCCAGTTGTTTGAGAAAATGGTTCAGGATGGTGTAAGGGCCTCGTGTTGGACTTACAACATTCTGATCGATGGGTTGTTTAGGAATGGCAGGGCTGAAGCTGCTTATACTCTGTTTTGCGACTTGAAAAAGAAGGGACAGTTTGTGGATGGTGTCACTTACAGCATTGTTGTGCTGCAGCTTTGTAGAGAAGGTCATTTTGAGGAGGCACTACGGTTGGTCGAAGAGATGGAAGCCCGAGGTTTTGTTGTTGATTTAGTTACTGTAACATCACTCTTGATAGGGTTTCATAGACAAGGTAGGTGGGATTGGACAGAGAGGCTAATGAAACACATTCGCAATGGTAATCTATTGCCAAATGTTCTTAAGTGGAAAGCCAATATGGAGGCTTTAATGAAAAATTCACCTAAAAACCGAAAGGATCATACTCCTATATTCCCATACAAAGGAGATTTTAGGGAGATCATGACTTTAATAGGTTCTGCTGGCCAAGCAATGGGCACTAATGCTGATTCTGGAGATTGTGATGAAAAGGGTCAGGAGATGTCAGCCATTGAAAATGATCAGTGGTCATCATCCCCATATATGGATCAATTAGCTAATCAAGTGAAGTCAACTGAACATTCTTCTCAGTTGTTTTCACTGGTCAAGGGGCAAAGAGTTCAAGAAAAGGGGATAGGTTCTTTTGATGTTGATATGGTGAATACTTTCTTATCTATATTTTTAGCGAAGGGAAAACTGAGCTTAGCATGCAAATTGTTTGAAATATTCACTGATATGGGTGTTGATCCTGTTAGCTACACGTACAATTCCATTATGAGTTCATTCGTCAAGAAGGGCTATATCAACGAGGCATGGGGTGTCCTGAATGAAATGGATGAGAAGGTCTGCCCGGCAGACATAGCAACCTATAATCTGATAATTCAAGGCCTGGGGAAGATGGGAAGAGCAGACATTGCAAGTTCAGTTCTGGAAAAATTAATGAAGCAGGGTGGTTATCTTGACATAGTTATGTATAACACCCTGATCAATGCACTGGGAAAGGCTGGTCGCATAGATGAAGCAAGCAAACTTTTTGAACAGATGAGGACTAGTGGGATAAATCCTGATGTTATCACTTACAATACACTTATCGAAGTTCATACCAAGGCAGGCCAATTAAAGGATGCATACAAATTTTTAAAAATGATGTTGGATGCAGGCTGTCTTCCAAATCATGTTACAGATACCATTTTGGATAATCTGGGAAAGGAAATCGAGAAACTGAGGCTGCAAAAGGCATCGATCGTGCGCACTAGTAACAAGGATGATACCTGAACTCTTAATAGGAAATCAAGAAGATATGTCAAAATTCATTGAATTGAGGGGTAACCAAAACAAATAATACTGGTTTCTGATCAAGCTCGGTGCATGTGCAGCTCACCTCACGTCATCTGTATACAAACTGCCGCAGCCATGTAGCCAAGACCCAGGGTTTCCATACTCAAGTCAGCTTCAGGCATTGTTAAACTTAAAACCTTAGGTAATTGCATGGAATTAATAGAAGTTTTAGAAAATTTTATTAACGAATGAAATTTTCTATTACAATTACTATCCCAGAATTATATTTAACTTTCTCCATATTAATCAAAACAATTGAACAAAAAAGAATCGAATTCGTTTATTAATCCAAAGAATTTCATTTACAATAATATGTAGGACAAATAGTAGACAAAAGAAATACAGATCGCATCCGAGAATAACACAAAATCTCTCTCCTTTGAATAATTAGAAAAGACCACACAATACAGAAAAACCGAGCAAGATCAGCCAGACAATGTGAACCAAAAGCAGCGCTTGACCAGGAAACGATGCGCTACCTCCATTCCCAACCTCACAAAATCCTAATTTCGCCACGCGAGTACCAGCACAGAAGGCATCGGCGCAGCCGCACCAGTAGGTCACGCCATCAAGGCCGCAGACAGGCTCCGTTCGAAAGCAATTGACAGGGCACGACGCCGATTTCGTGAATCGTGCGCAGACGCCTCCGTTCTCTTCGGCGATGGTAAATCCATCGGAAGGTAACCGAATAGATCCCGAATTATCTGGCACCGATAGCGCGATCGGTGCACAGAAAAAAAAGAAGAGGAGAAAGACGGTTAAGATGTGAAGCGGAGTTGCTGTGAACCACGGCATATGGCTGCAACTGAAAGGAATTCCTACAATTAATTTTCGAACCCTAACCCCCAATTTGGGTAGATAATGTTCTAATGATAGTCGAGCTATTTCCTTCGCCACGCAAAAGTCGGTTCAACCAGCGTACACCAACCCTTTCCTTCAGTTTTTTAAACTATTTTCTTACCTTTTCTTGTTAAAATTAAAATCGCTTTAGTTTAATTCTTTTGCAGACCCAATTGCCAAATTAATGTTTTGTCAGAATGGTTCTGTAAGCCCAAATTCATTTTAACCGGGCTTCATTTACATTTAGCCGAAGCATATTTATTTAAGTGAATTGTTATTCAGTGATTAAATAGTTAAAAATATTAATTGCTAATAATATTTATAACATTAAATAGTATCTTTGATCCATAAATTTTCAGTTGCGTATCATTTTTATCTTATATTTAAAAAAAAATGTGTCCCTAGAAAAAATCAATGAATACATTATTTTTTCGACAGATGATATATATCACTTCTACCTCTTCTTCTTCTTCGTCTTTCCGAATGTATCTCAATTATATAATACACCGCTTAGATAAATATCCAATTCCAAAAACCGTTGAATATTTTATGCTACTACTCATTTATTAATAACATTATACTTCAAAAAGAAAATTATTTCAGTTGATATTCCATTCTGACATAAGATTTCCCTCTCTCAACAGCTATTGATGAAACCAATTAAGTTCTAACAAAAAGAAAAAAAAAAAAAAAAAAAAAAAAAAAAACTTCGAAAGCAATGTTAAACAGATGTCTAAAATTACATTTCATAGGATTATTAGAAACCAGCATAGCACCATTGACAGCAAAAGCCTTCAAGTTTGGAACCGTTTTCAGAAGCCAAATTCTTGTAGTTGCCAGCCGATCGAGATTAAAATATTTATATATATAGTAATATCGTAATAATGCTTATCAGTTGTCCATTGCTGTAGTCAAACACGGCCAACAATATGTTTCTTTCTACGAGTACCTGTCCAATGCCAATTGCCAAATCAAATATGAGTAGGCTGTCAGTTTCCATAGCAACTTCAATAAGTAAATGAATAAACCCCACAAACTTGTCTTCAATAGTTCGAGTTTTAAATCAGAAATTAAAGCATGGCTTCAGAATCGGTTAACATAGATATGACATGCATCCATCACATGAGTTGGACAAGATAAGTACAGCAAGAGAGAGAGAGAGAGAGAGAGAGAGAGAGAGAGAGAGAGGCTCAGAAGAAAACTTAAGTGAATTACAGGTTAATAGGTATGGAGATGTTGGATACTTCAACTCCCTACAAATTCATCATCCGATGCACCAAACACATGTATATTTATTCCATAAGCACAGCAAGCTCAATTCCAAAACATTGTTTATGTACTTGAATCATTTAACCACCATGCTGCTTTAGGATATAAAATGAAATAACATCGACGTTCTTCAACATGCTAAGTGTATGACTTATCCCATCATTTGATAAGCTACCCTCAACTTCTGCCTATATAGTAAAATTTCAAGAATAATAGAAGAGCAGACAAAATCCTAAAGAAAAAACATCAAGATTAATTAGCCAAGCAATATAAACATTTTGAACTTATTTTATAGGGGCAAAAGACATGAATAACTTTTACATCTGAACACACAGGGCAAAAAGGCAACAGCAGCCAAACAAATTTTGATCATAGTCCTGTTTAGTTGGCTAATGTCTACATGCAGAGTCATAAAAGGTTTAAAACCCCTCGATTTAGATGTTCCTAAATAGCTGCCAACCTTTATATGTAGGGCAAGATCAATCCATTGTGCAAAACACTGACCAAAGTTACTTGACTTTACCAGCAGAATTCTTGCTCCAGAGGACCCGCCCATCAATGGCAGTGAGATGTTGACCATCAAGGCGCTTCCATGTCTTGATTGACTTGACAGCACCCCAACCTCCTTCCTCTGTCTTCTCTAAAGAGGCTACTACCACCCTTGCTCTCCTGGACCAACCAGCTTTCCCATAGGCATGGTATCCAAAACCCCCAGCGTAACACAGTTGTATACCTGTCAATTGACCACAGAAGTCATTGAGGTGATCATGACCTGTAAAGACAGCCTTCACATCCCCTGCTTCTACCATAGTTGTGAAGAAGCCTGAGTTCACAGAAGCAGAACTAATGCCTTCTTGTTTCACCCCAGTGAAGTTAGATGAGTCAAAACTAGCAAATTCAGGCAGCGGGATGTGAAAATAGACAAGCCCAGGTGCAGATGATTTCTGAGCCATTGGTGGGCTCATGTGGGCTCTCTGCAATACAAATAAAATAATTTATCAGATACAAAGATGGCATCCAATCGGTCGAATGACAAAGACTTTAACACCACGGGTCAATTGAGCAACAAGAGACAAGAATGCTTACTATTTACTAAAGAAATGACCTTCAAATATTGTACAATTAGAGTCTAATGAGGTTCATACCTGAAGCTTTGCAGAAGTGCGTTGAAACCACAACTGCTGAGAGGGTTTAATCCAACCATAGCCAGGGATAGCTGGAACTGTGGAGTAATCTCCGCTGTCAAGGAAGTAGAGATTGAGAACTGATTTGTTTGCAAAACCAGACCCTTCAACTCCACCAACCTCCAGGTTATAGTTGCCAAAACCATCAATAATATGTGCTTCAGAAGGATTGAATTGAGACAGAGTATGCTTCAATCCAACTATGTGTTTCATGACCCCTTCCCTCGATAATGTGCCTTCCTGGTCATGGTTCCCCAAAACAGCAGCCCATGGAATTCCTGCAGCAATTGCAGGGGCAAATGCTGCATTCAATGATTTGGCTGAATCCGTGGCATCAAATCCAAAGATGTTATCCCCTAACATACACACAAAACAGTTGCATAGGGTGAACTTGGATATCACAGTAAACATACTTAGAAAAGATTGCTATATTATGCTATGCTATTAAAAGATAGCAAAGAATAATTATGCCATTAAACAATAGAACTCAGTGTTTTCGCCAATGTCCTCTTACAACGACATTAAAGCCACCAAAAACACAAAATCAACTTTGCACTCGCTCGAAGTTTTCTTCATCACAAAAATAAAAGCATGAAGATTGCCAAATGCAAAAAACAAAAATAAAAAGAAAAAGAAAAGGAAAAAGAAAAAGAAACAAGAAAAGAAAAAGCGAGCTTCCTCTACCTGTATGCTAACTAGACTATTACTAGATGAAGATTAAATTTTCACACTTTCATCTCATAAAATTCAAAATTTTCTACAAGTAACTTAACTTTCTTCAAATAATACGAAAAGGGTCTATTAGATTACCAGTGAAAACGATAAAATTGGGTTTCTCAGCTTCAATCATGCGCTGGATAAAAGCGCTAGTGTTGAGGTCAGAGCAACCATGAACTTGACTAGGCAACACATCCAAACACGGCGTTGTTTTACCATCAGCATAGTGCATATCCGCCACTTGTAGTATCTTAAACTCCCCGTTCTGACCAAACATCAGCTTCTGCGGTAGCTGCTGCTGCACCGGAGGTTGTCGCCTGGCAGCCGCCAAGACGTTAACGGGTACAAAACAAAGCAAAAGCACTGCCATCGCAACAACAAAACCATGAAAAGGAAGTGAAACCCAAAGTTTCCTCTTGTTGATGTTAACAAGTACTGAAAAAGCTTGTTTCATTGTTGTTCTTTTCGTTCCCTTTTCTGGGTTTACAGTTCTTGAGAGGGTTCTCTTGTTTTGGGTCTGATAGCAACGAGAGTTTTCAATCAAACGCGAGAAGAAAACAAACGAGAGGATCAAAGTCAAGCAATGCCCTTATCTTTGCTGTCATATATCGTAGAATTAAATATAAATATCCTTCTTTCTTATAGTGAGCAAGGAGATTATTCCAAGTGAATAATTTTTGGTAGATACCCAAAGAAGTTCACAGATCGCAGTATTTTTCAATTTTTTTCAAAGCGTTTAATATATTACTGCGACGTTTATCCATTTTACAGTTTTTTACTTCAATCTTTTAGACTAGAATTACTAATTTAAATTTCATAAACTTCCAAAAAAAAATTACTATTACTTACAATAAACACATTATTTGATCACACAATTATCAAATTTGATAATTGTTAAAGTATTGTTTTCTTGCAAATAAAATAAAATAAAAGTAGCCCAAATCAAAACCTTCAAAGGCTATGAAACTCATCATTGGGCTTCCAGATAAGGTTTTATTGCATGCAATGAATGCAGTAGGAATTGTGTTCCTACCATCTACGGGTATGCTTATTGCCCCAACCGTTGCAATCAATTCAACACCTTTCTCAGTAGCCTTTTTTTTTTTTCCAAGGTTTTTTTCCTTAACGTTATGGGGAATTAAATTATGATCAGTGTGATTAAAAATTCAACATTATAAGTTTATAACAACATATCCCAAATGGTTTTAAAGTTATGAATTTCTGTATGATGCAGATGTACAACTAACTGTGACCCATATAATACTCGAAATAATTTTATTTATTTTATGTGTGTATATATAAATTAGTATTTTTTTAAAATTATATTCAAAATTTTAAAATTTATTATGTAAAAATTTTATATCTAATTAATTTGTTATAAAAAATAACTTATTAAAAAACAAGAAAAAAATGACATATTTTTAGTTTGTACTTTTTTTTCGTAATAATATTTATACACTTAAATTTTATATCAAATAAAAATAAATTACATATTTTCTTGAAAAAATAAAAATATATATATTCGAATAATGAATTAAATAATAAAAAATATAATCATACTTTTACTTTTGAAATTTTATTCAAGTTACCGTACAAAATATGAAAAAAAATGTTAGGAAATATGTGAAAAAAATTAAAAAATATTAATTTTCATAAGAACAAACTTGCAATTGTAATAGAATATACTTTGAAAAAAATAAATATGCAAACCGAAAAAATAATTTGTTTGATACAAATTAAGATAAAAGAATATAATGAGTTTTGAAAGATTTAGATTTTTATAATTTTAAAACATGTAAGATTTTCATAATTAAATAATTTGTAAAATAAGATTATCTAATAAAAAATAAAATTATTTGGATAAAATCTATATTTTTAATTTTTAATTTTAAAAAATATATCTAGATTAATTTAATTTGTAATTTAAATAATTTTGATATTTCAATAAATTCAATATTATCCAATTCATAATTAAAAGAAACTATATTTAAAAAAAAATTACTATATTCTTTAAAAAAATATATTTTACATGTCATTTAAAAAAATTATCCAAAAAAACATTAATGTGATAAACCCTATTAAATATTTATGTCTTTTAATATAATAATATATATGATTTCGGGTTTGGATAAATATTTAATAGGTTTGCATTAATGTTGTAAAATTTGATAAATCGTTGTCTATATGTAAGTTGTAACTATATATTAACTTAGACTTTAAATTGTTGTAATAGAGACATTTTATCAAATCATCTTAGCTGGCTGAAGCCAACAGAAGTCCACTAAAATTATCAAGACAAGACTATCATCTTGTCGAGAAAATATCAGTGCAGTCGATTTCAGTTCATTTATTTTTGCGGTTGATGAATATGTAGTACGATTATTTTTGTGTACAAATATCTGCATTACTGCATGAATGGATCTAGCTATTCCCAATAAGCTTAAAATATTCGAAAACCGATTGATTTAAGCTTCACGTTTAGTTTAATTAAATATTCCCAATCTTCAACTCGTGACCGCTTTAGTTGAATTTGAAAGCGCAGAATCTGCACTCTGCAATGTAAAGATGGTCTCCTTGTTGATGGTTGTCAGAATCTGGACAATCTTGCTCGAGTGGGTGCACTTGGCAAGTTAATTACATATTCTAGCAGTACTTTTAGATTGTATGCATTTCTAATGCTAGCTAAGCTAACATGAAGATCGAGCAGTCCAAGCAATAAAGTCATCGCATGCGTCATTTTCCTCCACTATTACTTAGTTTGTTGTCTTCTATCTTCAGATCCCTGTAATAATGTTAGAAGTGTGTAGAGGTTCAATCAACTTTATCAATGATTAAACATTCTCATTTTTTGAGGATACTGCTCCAACAATCATCTTTTTCTTTAATATATTGGGACGTGGTGGGAACTGGAAAGGAGGAGAAAGGGGTCAGGAGGGAGGGGGGAGTTGGGAACTCTCACCGTCCGAGTTGAGCCTGGAAATGTTCCTGATGAGATTAACTTGAATCCCTAGTTAAGTACAGTAATTAGATCGGTAAGCAAGCTGTCAAGTGCCAACCAGGCAATATCGTAACCTATCACAGGCAAGGACCTAGCCACTCACGAGAGCGTGAACCGTGAACCCGTGAGTATAAATATTTGAGATGTCTATTCAAATTCCAAGTCATAATCCACGGGGATTTTATCAGAATATACGACCTGAATACCAGGGCACCAGCAATGCTGAAGAAAAAACTATTCCCATCGATTGAATTCTGTGCCAGTTGGCTAATTTGCATCGTAATAAATTTCAACCACATTCATCAAATACATTGCTGGCCTTTTTTTTTTTTTTTTTAATCTTTACCGTAGTCTAAATTTCTAGTTTCATACAGTATAAATTATCTTTTCCCAATAGTAAGAAAAAATTAAAAGAAAAAACAATGGTATCACTCTTACCCTTATGACAACCATCGGTGGAAGCTGATAGAAGGGTGATTGGGTCATTGCACAACCATGCTAAACAAAAAATATGAGGGGATCTATTCACACCCTGTTTTTTCCTTTTACACCCTTTATTATTATTTTTTAAATTTTTTGTAAGTGAAATGATTTAATTAATTTTAAATATAACACTTTTTCAAATGTAAAACTCAAATTTTATGAAAACTTATAAAAAAAAACTGTTAAATTTTTTTATAAATTATTATAATGAAAAAAGTTATTATTAGAAAAAAATCATAAATTTTAAAATTAATAAAAAAGTTACTTTTATTATTTTGATTTTAAAGAAAAAAATAATATTTTATTAGATTTTAATTAAATATTTTATCTCTTGATATTAAAAAGGGCAATGAAAAAACTATTAGATCTGATCAACATATAAAAATTTAAATTTCTTAAAATTTTATAAGTAATACTATTTAATACTACATAATTTTATTAAAATCTGATATACTAATTGGAAAAGCTCATTGTGATAAGTATATGGCAAAATTTCTTCAAGAAATTTAGTTTAGTTAGAGTTATTATAAAATTTTAATAATTGATACAAAAAATTTTTTATTAAAAATGATAAATTTTAAATTTATTAAAAAAATATACATTTATTATTTTATTTTTAATTTAATTAGAATCCCATAAAATTTTATTCTTTATTAGAATCCCATAAAAATTTATTCTTTCTTTGACCAAAATAATAAAAGTAATTTTTTTATTAATTTTAAAATTTATGATTTTTTCAAACACTAACTTTTTTATCACATTAATTCATAAAAATTTTAACAAAACTCTCTTTTTTTATAATTTTTCATTCGAAAATGCATTTTGAAAAAGTTATAAAATTTATTTGAAAACTTGTAAGAAAATTATTTAAATAATGTCACTTAAAAAATTTTATTAAAAAAAGGGTGTGAAGAGTAAAGCCAAAGCAAAGAGTATTGCTGTAACCCATGAACCTCATTCCTCAAGGTATGGAGTGGCAGTAGATCGGAGTCTGCACCAGGAATGTCATCAAAATGAACTAATAATGACAGTTCAAAAACCAAGGAAGAGAAAAATATGGAGCAGGAATATAGAACTAAGGGAAAGGCCAGTCCCATGGCTATGAAATTTGAAGGATAGAAATACCTGCACTCGCTAACTCCCCAATCAATTGGAACCTACAAGAATTGGGTACTTGCTGCCAAAGTGAGAACAGAGTCAGCCATGGATCCACTGCTAAGAAAAAGCTAATTTTGCAAGAGCAAGTAACCACCCTCAACTCCTCCTCACCTCACCAAGTTGTAAAAAAGTCAAGCGGCCTCTCTAGTGCTAAAATAAGTTTTCCTTGTTTCCAATACTCTTGCTATCTGATATGCAAAATTTTCCTCATTATGATGGATATACTTGTGAGAGGATATATTATATGATCCACATTTTTTTGTTGTTGCAGATATTAGATACTTTTCTTAATACACATGAAGTCATGAACCATGGAAATCAAGCATTTTGTTATTTTAGCTACTTGTTTTCTTGTAGGAATGTTCCTCCATAAACTTATTTGCATCTGCATTGAGACACATATTGAAGGAATGGAATATAGGATGCGCAATTCCAACTTCAAGGTTTGAAACAAGAGCTCTATGATATCCATAATCAATCACTTTTTCAGCCTAGGATGTCAATACTTTTCTGGTTTGGAAAACACGAGCAAACAAGATGATTGGCAGCTAAACAGAGGGACACGGAGACGTCAAGATATTCATGAGCATCCTAAACAACAATCTAAACACCACTTTAAATCTCTATATAACCAAATATTTGCTTCGGCCATCCATGCAACTATAAGTTTGCTCTAAGATTTTTCTTCCGAAAGGAGACTTTTAATCTAGACTAGCACAGAGATAACCATACAATATACGTGATATGACCTACAGATCTACATATTACAAACATATGTGAAAATCAGACAATGAAAAGAGTTTTATAGCAAATGAAGAAAGAATTTACATGATTTCATAGAGTAATCTCTTTGACAACCAAAGACAACAACCAGTTTTCTCTCAAATAGACAGAAGAATACATCAAAGTACTGACCGCATCAAGACAGGGTAACAAAGTACAAGATGACCAACATTAAAAACTTTCAGAGTTGGCGGTGAAACAAATATCAGATCAATGATCCTTATCTTTCACTGCTATAGCCGAAGATCTGAACCAAGGTACACACGCTGAGGTCGTCTTTTGGTATAACCTGTATGCTTCAGCTCGGTACTCTTGCTTCAACATCCGCCGCTCCACAAGCACAGTAACATAAGCTAAGCACAAACTATTGATCAAAGCTCCGAAGAAGGTCCATCCATGTCCCAGGTTCCATGCAAATATAACCAGCCCCCACCACCACAATTGCTCGCCAAAATAGTTTGGATGACGCGAGTACTGCCACAAGCCCCGGTCAAGATTAGGGACCATAGGCTTTACAAGCTCTTTTAGCTTGCTATTTCTAGTCACAAAATTATGCAGTTGTGTATCTGCAAAGTAGGCTATGACAATGCCACACAGACAAACTCCAGCAGCAACAAAATCCCAGATATTCAAGGGCTTATCAACAGAGTGCACGACATACAGAGGAAGACATATCCCAATCAAAAATATCTGCAGAGTTTAATTACCCATTAGTTCACGTTCTCTCATCAGCATTTTTATAATTTAGTACCATTGATAGTCACTTAAGTATGAAATTTGCTCTTGCTTAGTGTAACAAACGCAACAAATCAAAGCTTTAACAAAAATACTCCATTCTTCTTCTTGAGGTTCAAATTTTCATCTGCTCTTAGAAAAAGGAACTATTCCCATATTTTAATTATTAAAATGATCCACTTAGCATTCTACAAGAGCCCATTTAAGCACTTTATCAAACAGATTTTCCAATTAAATACTAAAAAAGGCCATTTTAGTTTCAGAAAGAACCAAAATTGATAAAGAAAAAATCTTTGAAATATCACCTGCTGAGAAAAGTAAACAGCGAAGAAGGAAATCCACCACCAATGTTTTCCATACTGTTGACGCATATCAGTGAACCTCCAGTCTTCTCTGGCACCCCACTGCCATTTTTCACGCCTGAAATAGTTATGGGTCAGCCTAATACTCCAAACCCAAGTCAAGACTATCACAATCTTTGATCTCCACCAATCAAAACGCGCCAAAGGGTGCGTTGCATAGTAATGAACTAGCAACACCGGTATCACCGTCCAATACAAATCAATCATCTGAAACCAACAAAAGAAAAAACCATTAAAAAAGGGAAATTTTTAGAATTTTGAAAAAAAAAAGTTACTAGTAATTAGAAACCACTGACCCAGTTACTGGATTGGATGTGACCGATGAGCCAGAAGAGGACATTGACATTGAAGAAAAAGAAGACATTGGCTAAAAGGAGAGGGTGGTGAAAGCACCATGACCAAAGAGGAGGAAGAGAATTACTATTACTCTGGAAATGGTTAAGGAAATAAAGATAGAATAGAATAGAAGGGAAAGGTGCCAGGAATGCTACGACAGCATTTTTCAAGTTGCTTCTGCGCATGTTGTTTTGTTCTGATTTCTGGGGCTTGAGGAGGCACGACTTTTATAGCAACTGGTTTACTTCTTTTGTTTGTGGGACAAAGCAAAAGGTAAGCCCAAATGATGAGCTAAGATTAGTGTGATTTTCCTTTTTGTGCATGGAGGGTGGCGCATGGGCTCCCACGCCTCAACAGCATGTCCAAATCACCAATGGTTCGTAATTATGATTTCGGCCTACTCTTTGTTAAAGGGCCAGTTTGGTTTGGTGTTGCATTATTAAATTTAGGCATCCCTAATCATTTGACCAATTTAGCTTTAACCCTAACTATTAAACTCTACGTTAAATTTGACTGCATTTTTTAGTATAAATGATCATGTGGCGTGTAACGAAAATTCCGAATCGATTAATGAAATAGATTATGCATTTGACATTGACTTGATTTGCAGTGATTGAAGTGCATGTAATGATGAGTGCAGCCTGTAATGGTGAGCTTAATTATATATGTTGGAATCAACTCACATGGAATCCACAGCTTATAAAATCTTGGAACCTGTGGTCCCAACTCGAAACTCTCCGGCACAACACAACTTCAGCCTGCACAAATCTCCGCAATCTACGCAGCCGGAAAGGTGAACCCAGCTATATTGTAGGGCTACCACGCCTGGGGAGGAAGGGCCAGGTCATCATCATCTAATCCATAGCTGCCTGCTTCTTGCACCTTTATGAGCTTAAAGAACGGCAAATGGCCCACAAGAAGAGGTAATGCTTTCCTCTCTGGCTTGCATAGGTAGGTGCCATAGGCGGAGGAGAATCTGCGATGATATTCACTTATAATCGTTTTTGATTGATGAAGCATGAAAACATGAAGAATAGCAAATTTGCAACAATCTTTCTGCTTTGTTTTCTTCAGTCACTTTTTATAGATTATGGGGTGAGAAAATTTTCATTCACGTAAAAAGAAATCTCTTAACTATTTAAATAACTTCAGTTTTAGTGTATATTAATCTTCATATATTGGTTTTGAGTTTCAATAAAATTTATTATAAGATAACTCAAAAATATCCCATCCGACCAAGCACTACTGGCTGGATCTGCCTGTCCAAGCATACGCATAGCAAACAGCCAAAATGAACTTCACTTTCAGATGCAGCCTCCAAAGGGTTCCTTTTAATTTTACCAAAAAATAAAAAGGAAAACTAATATAATATAGAATCTTTAACAAGACCCAATGAAACTTGAGTTGAAGCCGGCCAGATCCCATTCATGTGGCTTTCATAAAGGTCCAGGTCCTTAACCAGCTGCAATATCCCTTTCTATTGCTCCTTGAATCCATTCGACAACAAACCACTGGAACAACAAAAAAAAGATGGGAATTAGAAAATATTCATTTACGTTCCAGTTCAGCCCAAACAAAAAACCAATGAACTGCAGAAACTTTACCTGAAGCCCAAGAATAACAGGAATCCACATTTTTCCCCTATCATTTCCGTCAGACCCATCTACCAACTTCTCGCTAACTACAATAGCTGAGCTTTTATTTGTTGCAACGCTTGTGATTGCTTTTACTAGGTTTGGAATCCAAGAATCACCATTGGGAAGAATCTGCATTGAACATGTATTTATTAAAGAATCAAGGCACTCAAATTGTATGAAGGGTCATAAATTGAGAACATGAGGGAAAAAGGAAAGATCATACCTTTTCATCGTTGTCATTTTTATTGCACCTCCCACTGTTTTCAACCAAAACAACAGGAATGACAGAATCCTACAAGCATCAAAACCAAGCAAATATCAGAAAAAGTAATACAGCACTCTAAGCATGCATCAGAAAAGAAATAGTGATTAATTAAGATAAATACAAGTTAACAAATCCATCTCAGACAATGCGGTCCAGTTATAAACCACCTGTTAATTTTTCATTCTTTCTTTTCCCTGAAACTTTTCCCACTGTTTACACGCTTAAAGCATGTATTTTCCTATGCAGTGTTCACTAACACGAAGTGAAAGCTCAGATCATCCTCATTTTAAAAGTATGACTCTCAAAGCTAAGATAACAACTCCCCAAGAAGTGGCAAGAATTACAAGCTGGATGAATTGTTAGCACCAAAATTCAAAAGAGCTTAACAGATTCTGTCTTTATGTGCATTTTTGGGCATTTGAGAATGATCATATTCTTAAACTAAAGGCCCTATGAGTGGGAAACCACACATAGCTCTTCTGCTCTCTCATAACTACCAAGTACCAATTGCTTCTCCAGTGTGTGGAATCATTAAAACCACCATTCAACACTATACTACAGCAAATTACAACTAGAAGTGATAAACAACACTCAGTCAGCACATCATGCAATTTGTATGAGAACATATAAGCTTATCTCTCCTTATTAACACTTTCAACACCTTTATTTAGGCAATCCAACGTGTCACCAACAGAAATAAACTTGAAAGAAAATACATACCTCAAATTCCTTTTTCCTAATCCGAGCTCCCATATGGATGGCCTTTAGCACCCCCTCTGATCTTTTAGAGGAAAAAACATCATAATTTAGTCCATCTGGTGGACAAAGCTGTGCATGAGTGAGCACAAGCAAACTTATGCGCCATATTTCTTTGCCAAAACTGTTGGTGATAGCCCTAATAATCTGCTTATCCAAGTCATCCACTCTATATGCATCCAGGCGGTCAACATAAAGCAAAACATCTATAGTCTTATTCAAAAGAAACCTGCATGATGATTACAATATTTTGTTCTTAACCAAAATGGACCATACCACGTAGTAAAATAACCCTAAAAGGAAAATATTACTAGCGTTTATTGAGAATAACTTAATTAAACTAAATTCAACATATAACAAATAAGATTCTAACTTAGACTGCTCACTTCGAGTACTGACCCTTTGATCAACTCAAGAGCTTGGTGATTGACATATCCGGCCTCCACAAGCCCTGGTGTATCAATTACATTCAATGTAAACCCTGCCCAGGAGCGTGAAACCATCACAGGTCTCAAGCCCTCTGACTGCAAAACAAACAAATAAAATGACAATTGAAGCTTATGAAATCCTAAACAGCATAAAAAAATCAACCCAAGAATGCAAAGGAACATAAAAAGCGATACTTACCTGGAAAGCAGTGACTCGAACAACTTGCTCTCCAAGAAGAGAATTAATAGTGGAAGACTTTCCTACACCGCCTTTGCCCATAACAAGGATAGTCAAAGTATTGACATTCTGCGATTTTTTACAACAATAAAATGCCAATCTTGAGTAAATGTGTTATCAATTCAAAGTAAATGAAAGGGATTAAATGGTTTATCAAAACCTCTTGCTTCAATTTGCCCAACAACTCGAACAATTTTGTTTGTGTAGCGGCGGGGAATTGTTGAATACCGAGCCATTCACGAGGCAAAGGGGTACCCATTACTGCAAACTGCATAAGAAACGGAAAAACCAAATCAAAAACCTCCAAAAGAAGCAATAAACCCTAAATCCTAAAAGTGGAGAACATGCTAAAACGATTGACCCGTCATCAAATGCAGCTCAAAAAAATGAGATGGGTCTGTTTTCTTTCGACAGATGGTGAAACAAAAAAAGAGAATTGGAGGAGAAATCTGGGTTTTACCAGCCTATCTTGGGAGTTGCAACCTGAGAAAGGAAGAAATCGGGGACGTTTTTATGGTGAATGTTGGTGGGCAAGTGCGTAGGAAAAGAAAAGGAGGAGGTATTGGGCTTGGGAAGGTTATTTCATCGAAATTTAGGATTCGGAGAAGTGTTTGATTTTTCCGCCAGGAGCAGAAATGGTTGTTTCACACTTTCACGGGTCTGGAAGGCTCCAACGTATTCCGCCCCACGCCCACTATGCTTCTTACCCAACCGACCTATTTTGCCTATTTATTTGTGATATTTTTCAAAATGTTTTGGAACAATAAGTGGGCTCGATGTAGGGTTTGTGTGGGCTTCCCAGCCCATATCATTAACAAAAAGCCCAAAAATAAATTACAGGCAGCATTTCCGCGTCGGTTCATTTAGATGACCATCGCCGCACCGCAGCTACCTAAATAAAACGGGGTTGGTATCGAATTACACCGAAGGGTGAATCCGGAAACCCAAAATCTCTGCAGTTACCCCCGTGCCTGAGAAGGAAAAGATGTCAGCTAGGTTGCTAAAGAAAGTATTGAAAGAACAAGAACTGCAAAAGCAACACGTAATTGAGCAAGAAGAGGAGGAGGAGCTAAACGACGGCGAATCGGAGTCGCCGGATTCCGGCGCTCGTTCTTCAAAGAATCCATTCGACCTCCTCAACGAAGGTGACGAGGCGGACGAAGATAACGCTGACAAGGTTTAGTTCCTTAACCGTATCCTTTATAAAGTATCCTTCTTTTTTACGATTAATCATTTATCGCGTTCAACCAGGATTATGCCTTTAATTTAGTCATATTTTTCTTTGGAATTAACTTTCAATTCTATTTAATTATACTAAGGATTATAACGACGCGTTAAGTCTTTGTACCCTGGAATTCAAGGTCCAACCTGATGCTTTTTTGGCTTTACTTCTGTTTAAAATGTTAAAAAACGGGCTCTTGATCACTAAAAATTTAGGTGGAAACAATTAATTTATCATGTGCTAGTTCCATTGTAATTATCAAGTGATGTCCTTTAGAGAGTAATATTGGGCGTTGGATGACTTCCAATAGCTTATGATTGGTTTCTGCTGCAGGTCGATGTACCGGGAGTTGCTGATGAAGCCTTGACCAGAAAACCAGAACCGCCTTCATTGAAAAGTACTGCCAATGTAGCTTCTGCATCTAACAACAAATCAAAGAAAAAGAAGAAAAAGAAAAGCAAAGAGGGTGCTTCAAGTACGGATAACCATGAAACACCTTTGGATGTGACTTTAGATACTTTATCTTTGGATTTTAATTCTTCTAGTCATCAGTCGGGTCCTTCCAAACCTATATCAGAAAACATTAAACAGTCTACACCGTCTATAGTACTTGTGGACCCTAAGTATCTGAATGTCGAGAATGAGCTGCGGAGAATATTTGGTTCTAAGGTGGTCAAGTCATTTGAGAAAAGCAATCAAAGCAGCAGTTCCAGACAGGTACGTGGTGGAAGACGGGGAACCCATCATATTAGGAAGACTGTTTTGATATCTCCATCAGACCATTGGCCTCGATGGGATGGATCTTTGTCAATGGAATTTCTGGAATCTAAGGATGGGTACCATTACTTCAGGTAAAGATCTCTCTTGTATCGCTAAAACTTGCTTAACTGTTGATTACCTTTCTGAATTCTGAGTGCTCCCATTTTTGTATTTGTTCACCCACTTTGAGTGTATATTACCAACATGAGAAATAGTGATAGATAGCTTTTGACATTTTTGAAATTGGAATATATTTCTTTCCCATTGTTTCCTGAGTTTGAATGAAAATTTTACATGGTTTTACATCATTTGTATGAGTGTAGATGTACACAGAATTAAAATTAGGTGTGCTTTGATGAACATTTTAACTGTCATTGGAAGGCACACCCGGTTTCGTTGATCTAGAGATAATAGGGATTCAAGAAGTATCACATCAAGTGCATTTCCCATGTGAATGGCGATTGTTTCCCATTGTATTTGGCTAAAATCGTTTATTGGCTGTATATTTTTTTGGTTTTAGTGGTTTTACTGTGTCCTAACTTTGCGGTTTTATTAATGGTTTGTAGATATGCACACTCGTCGTCCTATGAACAAGCTCAGAGAGCATTTGAAGCTGCTCAAGCTATTCATGACCTGAATGGCGTAGCAAGTGTTCTGTTGTATCATCCTTATCATTTAGATTCACTTATAACCATGGCAGATTATTTTAAATTTGTGGGTGAGCATCAGATGTCTTCTGATGCTATTGCAAAGTGTTTATATGCCTTGGAATGTGCATGGCATCCTATGTTCACTCCCTTGCAGGGTAATTGCCAATTGAAGTTCAGTCATGACTCAAACAAGCCATTATTCAAAGCACTTTTCACTCACATGAAAAACATGGATAGGCGAGGCTGTCATCGATCTGCACTAGAAGTTTGTAAGTTGTTGCTTGCACTTGATTCAGATGACCCAATGGGAGCTATGTTCTGCCTCGACTACTTTGCTTTGAGGGCAGGGGAGTATGCTTGGTTGGAACGATTCTCTGAAGACTATCGAAGTGATAACTCCTTATGGCTGTTCCCAAATTTTTCTTACTCCCTTGCTGTTTGCCGGTTTTATCTTGAGCAAGAGGAATCCTCCCATATTACTAGTGTGGACACCACAAAGGCTTCTTCAGTTGATCTTATGAATCAGGCTTTGATGCTCCATCCATCTGTCCTCAAGAAACTAGTAGCCAAGGTCCCTTTAAAAGATCAGGCATGGACAAATATACTCAAAAATTCCTTTTTCCATTCTGATCAAATGGGGATCCCATCTTTGGATCACCTGATTAATATTTACGTTGAAAGAAATTATCTCATATGGAGGCTTCCTGATCTGCAAAAGTTACTTCGGAATGGTGCCTTCCTTGTAATTCAAACACTGGAACATAATAAAAGTGATGCTAAAAATTGGGCTTGTGTGAGAAAAGAAGCATTCTCATCTGACAAAAACGAGTAAGCATCAGGACTGACTTGTGTTGTTGCTTTTTTTCGTTATTATTAGATTTCCCTTGTCTTTGATTTTTTACTGCAACATTCATGTCTGTTACATTTTTAAGCCCTAAATTCGTCTATTGGTTATGTCCAACTTAAGGGAGTGCTAAATTAGTGTTGGGGCTGAATATAGATAAATCTGGTTGCAAATGATTGGGATTTGCTAGCTTAATTAGATTAGTTGAGCTTATTGTATACATTGGGAGTTTGTGTGACAATTTTTTCACCCTCTGGTCAGGTATGGTCATTTGTTGGTTCAGGACTTCTCTGACACAGTGCAGACTCTTCCTCCTGATAATCTGCAAAACTTTATGGTTGACATGAGGGAAGCTGCTCAGATTGGGGGTCAGGTTGCCAATCTACCTGCTGGTGGTCATGCTCCAGTACCACGTGATGTTGCAAATCGCAATCCATTGGCTGTCTTGTTTGAGTCGCTGCTACCATGGGTTAATTATGGAGCTGCAGAAGATGGCATGGTTGACGAAAACCAAGTTAATAGGCAAGGTCAAGACAATGAAGATCTCTGAGTTGCAATGTATTAAGGATTGACAGAAAGCTTTTGGGCAAAATAATCCAGTTTTCAATAATGTCTCTGATACATATATTTCAGTTTCATGTGAAGGAGTAAAATTCTCACACTGTTCAAGCTGGAAGAGGTTCTTGCATGTACGAAGATTTTTGTGGGTAATCAAAGCCAACTCTGTTGTCAATTTTTGTAGACATTTTTGGAGCATCCTGTAAAACTGATTAAGTTCATTGCCTTTACATGGAATATAAACATAGTAGTTCTGCCATTTTGGGAAAATTTTGTTTATCATAATTGTAGAATGCACAATGCTTGTGAAATTGTTAATGCTATCCAGCACTGGTTTTGACTCATCCATTGGATCCATTTAGGTTGTCAAGTCTTCATTCTTTAATTGGTGGATATTCTGTAGTGTTTGGATCATCGAGACTTGGCTGCTAGCCTTTCTAGCAAATAAGTATGCAAAATTGAATTTGTTGAACCAACTGCCGTACTAAACATGATTAGGAACCCTTGTATTTTATTTCTGGAGATGAAGAGCTATTGTGTTTGCAGCAAGATTAGACCATGAAATGTCATGTTTAGGATGCTATGCGCACAGTGCTAAACGAATTTGGTTGATATCAGGATTTTTCTGTTGAAGCAGTAGACTTAAACTCAATAATGAAAATATAGGGGCATCAAGCAGATTGCACCCTGTTTAGAACAACAATTGTACAAACCAAGGAATGGAATATAAAAACATTTTCTTTACAAAGGTGGCATCCTAGAAATAAGTAAAGGGATTGTATGAAAAAAAAAAATCCTTTAATTCAGATTTCACACTGTGGAACTTTTATTTCCACTAGATGAGCAAGAACTTGAAAGGGAATAAAAATTTTCAGGTAGACTTCCCAAGTTCTAGGGAAGCATCCTTTTCTGTAGCAGGAGCAGACTTGTCAAGTTCTTTGTAACCATCTTTCACTGAAGCAGGGGGAGGCAGTCCAGAATCAGTTTCAGCATCTTTCGCAGACTTATTATCATCCTTGACCGCCATGTAAACGAGGACTGCCAGCAATGGATAACTCAAAGTGGTAAGCGCCCAATTCACAATCAGCTGGTTGAGCAAGGGAACCTTATTTTTGTCTACTACTTGCCAGGCAACTGCAGCTCCTGCACTCTGCACTCCCTTGTAGAAACCGTTATATCTGCAATTTTTATGTGGACAATCTGTTAGTAAAGGGCTTATCACATGCAGTTAAGGATTTTAGATATATTTTATATACAGCCATTTCCTCCAATGCGATACGAGCTTGAAAGTATAAGAATCTACGAAATGACTTATTTAATATTTATCAGGTGAAACTTGAAAGGAGAAAAAAGATTACCTGCTGAGGGTCTCTGAGTTATCAGCTAATGCTCCAATCACCCAATAAACCAAACTTTGAAACATGGCATCCAATAATCCATAGCAAAAGTACAATACGAAAGGTCCAGCAAATTCATTTCCGGATTTTTTGAAATCCAACCGCTTGGGAAGCTTGTGAAGAGAATAATTCAACTGATTGGCAAGGCCACCAGCCCAAATTGCAGTTCCAAGCACAGCGACAATTCCTATCCCAACCAAACCTCTAGTTCTTCTGCTCTTGAAACTGAAGTCTAGAACATATCCAATTGCAACTGAACCTATCATTTGAGCCCCCCAATAAAAGACATTGTTAAATCCTCTTGTTCTCAGATTAAACATCAAACCATTAACATTATCGAACTGGTAGCTGTAGAAGAAGTTGCTAGCCCAGGCAGCTGGGATGATGAGACTCAGCTTCCAATTACGAAAGAGCTTAAGAATCTCAATAGCCTCTGTGGTAACATTTGAATATTTGATGTTGGTGCAACGAGTACCATCATCTCTGACAACACGATCAGGGGGTAGAATTGCAAATGAGATGAGGGCACCAGCTGACATGAAACACATGAAGGTAATATATGTCTTGTCATCGACAGATTCCGCGTTTTCACGGTGGTAGTTCAGGATGAAAGGTATGAATCCACCGATGACACCACCGAAATTGAAAATAGTCCAGAAGAGCGAAATATAGGTGCCTTTACGAGCAGGAGTGGGATAGGAAGTCATGATAGCACCTTGCCCGGCCCAAAGAAGTCCTGCACCGATACCAAGCAAAGCACCAGCAGTGATAGCGAAAGTCTGGTCTTTGTGGTGATTGTAGTAAAGGAAAGAGCCAGCATAAAGAACATATGTGGAGCAGCCTATGGCAAGGGTAATCCTTGGTCCAAAGATGTTGTAGATGCCACCACCAAGGATTCCAAAGATGGAAAAGGTCGCGTACAGAGCTGTGTTGGCGTTATTAGCTGCAGTAGGATCAACCTGGCCACCACCTCCCATGCCAGAAAGGGCATTGAACATGCCAGGACAACAGAAGCATACTAGACCTATTAAGCTGACCTGTACCAGGGGTGAGTTGTACCTGAAAAGAGACCCTCCAAGTCCTGGTACTTCGGCTGCTGCTTCCTCATCTCCTGCGAATCCCATGATTGATTCGGCTACTTAAACGTGATTCTGCTGGTGTGAAGGGAGATTCTTATAAAGAAGCAAATATGTCGCTTTCTTGAGGAACATAACATCGGTTTCTGCGTGGGGACTTTTGGATGGGATTCCTATTGTTATCATCGTCTTCCGTTAGTAACCACGTAGGCTTTTTTCTTGTTTTTACCCATTAATTTCGTAAAAATTTTATCAAGAACATGTCAGCTGCTATGGCAGCTTATAATCACGTTAAGTTAACCCTCAAAACATTTACATATTCACTTTGATTTTGTTGAGCAGCAGCTGCTCAGAATACTTTGTTGTCTAATAAGCTCTTTATATTTTAGGTAGAAGACAAACCAGAAGGGTACAAAATAGTCCGTATGTTTGTCTTCGCTGGATGATTTCGACAAGGAACAGTGAATCGAGCTGAGACAAGAAAAGTGTGGAAATTAAAAATTGCAACTTAATATTTGAATCGACATTAATGATTTCTTGTCTTATTTTTTTTTCAATCTATATACCTGTCATGGATTAGTAACACAAGTGATATTTCCCCAGCCATTTTTTTGAATGAGCGTGCTCATTTTCACGGTAATTCAATACGAGAAACAAATTCATCTGAGCTAATAATACTTGGATGGGAAAAAATAAAGACGCAAAACATGATTTTTTCCTCGGAGAGATGGCAACATAAAACAGATAAGAGCGGCAAAATTGACCAACAAAGCAGAGAAGAAATGCTTGAACAGACTTCAAATTTCCGATGGTTCCAAAATACCAATGTCGAATTAGAGCTGTTCCCAGCACAGAAAACTTGATGGGGGTGATCCAAACGGAATATACGGTAAGAACCTTATGTTTTGTGGCTAAAACCATGCAATAAAGCACCATCGCAAATGGCATAGTTGGATCCCTAGATGCAACAAACAAGTATCTTAACTTGATTCCCTTTGGTGCAAAGATCTAAAACGAGAAGAAATCGGTCATAAAGCGCAAGATAAAAACAGCAATGCAAAGAAAGAATATTAGTTAAAATATTTAAAACTTATCACAACAAACTAGGAAACATGTTACGTACAGTCCACTTCACAACCAATCAATTTATTCCATTACTAACTGTATACATGTTTCACTCAAAAAATAAAAATTAGTCACAGTAGTTTCTAGCTTCTCTCTTTTTGGTTGTTACTATAATACAGGTGGGCAAATGCACATCAGAATGATCCCCAGCCCCCACCTTGCTTTTAGCAGAATTCATCAAACAAGCATATATCACGGCCAACATTTTTAAGTGTCCGAATCAATTTCGAAGGATGTTGGCAAGCCTGCCGATTGTTGCTCCAGTTTTTGGACTTGAGGATTTGACCTTCAATCAACCCACTTTAAATTAGTTGTGAAGCCATGCTTTTGACTTTCAAGGAATAATCCAATGAGTCAAAAGGTAGTATCATTTGGGATTAGATCATCGTTTTCGGCAGATTGTCATTCCATCTCCAATAGGTACCTAATGCTCCAAAAGGCACAGCGTTATGGAAAAAATGAATAATTCCACAGAGAATTTGGTAAAAATGAGCAGATAATGCAAATACTTACCATACTTATGCTTACTCGCTCATCAGACATTAGGTTTCTATTGAAATTCCTAATGCTAACAGTCTTTGCATCATTTACCTGTTATAAAAAGACTATTTGAAGATAAAGTTCAACTAATGGGCAGACCTTTATAAATCATAGGCAAACAGTTTACCAACGGGTCAGCAACTTTGCCATGCCAAAGGACATTATCAATCACGATAACTCCCCCAACCCTAACCTGTAAAACAGACCAACTATAACCTAAATTTTGCAGACAAAGAAGTGAGGGAAAGTATTTAACAAATGCTCAAAGTTTGAAATTCTAGTTTGGTATTACCAGCTGTAGTAGCAGTTCGAAATATTCTTGATTCATCCTTTTCTCAGCATCAACAAATGCAAAATCATAGCTGCTTTAAAGACAAAATCATACTGTTATTGTATTAATCTGAACCTTAAAAATTGTTAAAAGAGATGACAAAAGGATGGAGTAATCTTGGGCACGGGCACAAAGGTAAAAAGTAGATATTAACATGATGCACGCAGACAATCTTCATTAACATACTGCTATATTAAGAAAAAGCAATGCATGCAAAAGGATAAGCATCTATTATCAGTTGGTGCAAAGAAAATCAGGATTAAGAATATAAATGCACCACAATTCACCTGCAAGTCTCACCATTAAGAATAATAAATTTCAAGACATCTGCAGCTAGTCCATGTTTCACAATTACCTAACACCAACAAACAACTTAGTTAATATAAAACTCCATCATAACAAGTTTGATTAGGGCCAACACTACAAGCAATCTATTGCATTAATTTCACCATTGTCAAAATTAGGACAGAGAAAATGACAACTCAAAATAATAACACTAATTCGAATGGGAAAGAGATGTTTAGTACACATATCGTTACCTTGTGTGAAACACCGGCTAGCTCATAATACCTCTTTGCAACCTCAAGAGATCTAGCATCCCTTTCACAGGCAACTAAACAGCCTGATTCTGGAAGAGCCAATGCAATAGCCAATGATGAGTATCCCTAAAGAAAAAACAACACGAATTCGCTTTACCAAACTTAAAAATCTACCTTAAACAAGAAAGGGAATAGTTCCAAATACCTTAGCTTAGTTTATTGATTATGATTAATAAGGTGATTTCAAGAGGAATTAATGCATAAACTCACAGTGTAAACACCAAGTTCAATACATCTTTCAGCCCCGAGAATCTGTACTAACATCGCTAGTAACTGTGCTTGATCAGGAGACACCTTTTAAAATGTAAACGAAAAAAGAAAAATCACCTTTTTTGGTTGCAAAAAAGAAAGAAAAAAAAAAACAAGAGAAAATGAAACTGCGCGGTTGATAATTTGGTACCTGCATTTGGCTACCGCGCATATGGGCGGTTTCTTCGCGTAACTGCCGGAGAATCTGAACAAAGCAAACGTTAAAATTAGGGCAAAATTGGATTTTTTTTTTTTAATGAAAAAAAAAAGTGGAATTTTTTATAAGTACCTGAGGCTCGCGAACATTGGCGAGGATGTAATTGTAAAGACGAGGAGTGATGCTGATTACTTGCTTGTTGCCGTATTTCTCATCGTCCGCTACGATAAATGAAGCATTTGATGAAAACGAGTAATTCCTCGTGAGATTATTCAACTTTAAGAATCTGGATTTAGATGTTAGTGAAGATAACGAATGGAATCGTTGCGGTCTACTGAGATAAACCATGGCGCGTTGATAAGCTGAGCCGGAGCAGCGACTAATCGCAAAGATGGTAGCCATTTGGGGAAGAGAAAAGGGAGCCAATTGCATAGCATCAGCCGGAACTGTTTGTGTTATCGCAGTGCTTCTATCATGGTTCGGGTCGTGTTATCTGCGGCGGGTTTTTTTGTTAAAAAAAAGTCAAAGGAAAAATAAAACCCCAGCCGTGGGTCCCACAGGGCAAAACGATCGAAAATAGATGCAAATAATCGATAAGCGAAGTGGGCTACCTAGCTCTAGTTGTAGTCTATAACAAAACAAGCAACAGTTAAAGCTGTGAACAATAATGGAACCCAAATTCTATCCTTTCTGTAACTTGATCCAATTTCTTCAGTAATTAACCGTTGTTTTTGAGAAAAAAAAAAAATAATAACCCACATTGTTATCCAATCTCTGTGTTGGTGTATTTTTCGGTTGAGCAGTTGAGGAATCTGTCTAAGGTTTAACTGGACTTGACCTGTCACGAAAAAAAAATCAAGAGATAACACTCAAGTCAGCGTAGTATACGCAAAAGAATGAAAGAGGTAACTGGAAAGCAGATGGCTTATTCACCCTTTTACACCTCACGAGCAATAACATGACCAAATGACTTACCAGGTGTTAAGTCTACTAACATGGCGGTCATATTGTTACTGACGGGACGGTCAATGACATTCGATGTAAAATATACGGCGGCCATGGTAAAAAAGTTATCTTGCCTCAAGTTGTTTGTTCTATCACACACATTACTATATTTGACAAAAGATCGTCTTCATTCCTCATTTTGTAGAAACCAAGGGATAATAATTCAATAGATCAGGTATGGGATAAAAATGTACTTCAAAAGGAGTCACTTCTGAATCATCCACAAACTGATGTGCAACATTTTGCGATAATGGAATTTGGGAAATGTATACAAAAATTAACCAAGCAAACCATCCCATCGATCTTTAAGAGCCTCATATGCCTTAGGGCAAGGAATAGCTTGAAGCATGAGTCTTCCATCAACAGTTATTTCTGTAACTAGACCTAACCTTACCAATGTATTCACCGCCTTGTCAACTGGCATTTCAACCTGCAGAAGTCGCTTCAACCATATGAGAAAATAGACAATATTGCCAACGTTGGCAGATATTACTACTTCAATTGTATTACCTTTAGTTTAAAAATATCATAAATGAATCTCTCACATTTGTCTCCAACCTTTTGGCAACAAGTGGCCTGCAGTCAGAATTGTTATTAGTGAATAGTGATTTATCACCTATGTAATGTATGAAGAATGGATAGAGTTCCCTTTCGATTTAATTCAAGAGACAGATAGGATTAACCAAGGAGCACAGACCAATAATAGGCAAACATTCCCAAAACCAATAGATAAGTCACCAAATCATAAAAGGCAATATTTGCAGGTAACTGCATCTCAAAGCACAAGTTATTTAGTCATCACTCATCAGAAATAAGGTTAGGGACTGGTATGAGAACTGGACAAAATTAACTTTACTATGATCTAAGAGTTCATTGTTTCACTGAATAAGAACAATCAAGAATTGATCCAATTCAGGCCACCAGCCCTAAAAAGTTAAGAACTATAGATTACTATGACTATGCTTGATTAGGACAAGCCTCATAAATACCAAGAATAAGGCACCTCTGTCACTATCATTTAACCATCAGAAATGGGATGCACGGGACAAACCTGGCCATTCTCCATGTTAAGCAGGATGGCATAGGTTAAAATGGCTTCCTTGTACTGCATATAAAGGAGGAAGAAGAAAAAAGAGTCACAAAAACAAGAAAGAACAATTTATATGACAATAGAGATAACTGGTGGAAAGATTTGATGAAAATGTTAATTTCAAGAAAGGAATGGGATTCTCTTTTATTATTCTTTGTTCAATAGAAGAATCACGAATAGTAAGTCTGAAGTCTAAATTCAGAAAAGGCATGAAAAACAATAGTATCATGTACTGTTCAATCTCCATGCAGCTTCTTTTTCCCTCAATTGAACACTTATTATTATGCTTTTGCAAAATAAATAAGTAGAAGAGTTTCTCACTTGCTGCTGTTCAGAAGCATCCAAAAGAAAATGAACTGAGCCAAAGCCACTTGCCAAGGTTTTCTCATAAAGGGTCTTGTTAACCAAAAGCTGTGGAAACAGATCCCTTTAAGAAATTGTTTGAATACTTAACAATGGACATAAGTTTCAAAGTATAATTATTCCCAGTATTGCATAGAAAATTTTATTAACTTACCTGATACCTATCCCAGGTCTGTTTGTAACCCAATGCCACACGGGACACATATATTATCAGAGCAGTGATTGCAACCACGTCAAGAAATATTGCTGATCTGTAAAAAAAAAACATGAAACAACATTTCCAATGGAACTAACCTTTTACAAAAAGATCACATGAAAATATAACAAGACATACGGGGAAGATAAAATGTCCTCGAATTTGTAGTTTATCAAGAATGCTGAAAGCCCCAATATTGTGGCTACATCTAAGCGTACCTACAAGTCAAATTCCCCAATATCAGGTCCCCATGTTATGCAAATAAATCTTGTACTTGAATACAGTTGGATTAACCAGGTAAGCACGAGCTAGCTCTAGTCCTTAGCCAAGGCCAATCAACCTTTCATGCCTTAGTTTCATGTGTTATCACATGCTTTATTGCCAAAATTGCTATTAATATTACAAAGACTGTAAATAAGGAGATGTTGAAAAATAACCTCCTCTCTGTAATGAAAAAGTTTTTGAGGCATATTAAACCTTTAGTTCTATTTCTCCTGCTATCCTGCCATTCAATAGTGTTGAAGAGATAAGATATGGTGAGATACATCCTGATGTGGTAATCCAGAACTTCGTATCAAACTGAGTCTAGGGATCCAGAGTCCAAAAAGTTTAACCAGTCAACAGCTTAGTCCAAGGGGAATCTAATAGAGACTAAAGAAATGATGTACATTCTAAAAATAGAGTATATTGCTAGTGATTGGTTACAGAGAGTGTCTTTCATTAACTGAATCAGTTAGACACGTCAATGAAACACCACGAGAAGAAGCTATGATTAACAAGGACTGCAATTTTACTAAGTTTAGAAAAGAATTTTATGATGTTGAACAAACTTGCCTTTTAGAATGCTAGAAAATACTTGTTAGTTGATGTCCATATTGCCTCTTAACCAGTTGATTGTCATTCAGTTTAGGGACTGACAGTGAACTATGAGTGGAGATGCTAAAATACAATCTATTAAAAACAGCACGGATATAATTAACTTATACATACCGTGTCTATGATACGGAAAGACAGCTTTTTGTGAGGAAAAATAACCTACAAATAATCAGACAACAAAATGAAAATTCAAAGGCACATAAATGAAGCATCAAGACAAAAATTAAAAACACAAAAGCATAAGATGTGAAAGAGTATTGACAGACATTGAGATGTTAGGAATATTTACTGGTAAATCCGGAATAGGAATTCTCTCATAGATCTTTAACTGTAATGCTTGAACCTCAGAGTTATCTTCAATATCTCCTTCAGCAAAATCCTTTGTATAAAGCAAAATCAATTCTTGAAATGCTGGCTCCTGACCAGAAAAGGTACCAAAGTTTTCAAACAACATTAAGTGATATAGAAAAAGGAAAATTCTAGAAACAAAATTTTGGCCACTAACAATTTTTTACAATCAGATGATCCGTGCATACTGGTCAGCAAATAGTTATGTAAAAGCATAAAATTTTTATATCTATCCAAAAATTATCAATCACCATATAACATAAGCGAAGGAAAGTCATGAACTGTTCAAAATGGAAACAATACCTGGAGGATTGACTGTGAAAGGAGAATGGAAACAGAAGTTTTTAACATTTTCCAAACATCATTGCCACAATATTTCCTTGTAGCCGGTCTCCAAATATCACTGAGGGATATCCTTGATAAGAATGTTGGCCTGAGTGAAAATTTTCTTTTATTACTTGATAAGAAAGTTGTCTTAGATAAAAACTTCCTAAATCACATCAATCCTTTTGCAGCATGCATTATAAGATGAAGTGATGTCAGATCAAATTTATTCATTTCTTCCTTTTTCTTTTTTCCAAACTATAGTCTAATTACCAGCACATTCCATTAACAACTTAGCTTTCTCTTATTCATTTCAGCAAATGTCCATCTTTCAAGTGCTGCACTTCAGTCAAATATTTAATACCTTTACCTTCATTTTAAAATACTATTTACTCATTGAAGGAACGACCAATAACCTAAACAATGACAAGTATCAGAAGAAAACCTAAGCCAATGTCATCTCAACCCTTCCCATCACACCCTGTCCATGAAACGTGAACATGAGGCATTAACAGCACAATGTTGAAGAAACCTTCTCAAATGTAAAGAATATAAAAAGTTTGGTTTAACATGCCTTAAATAAGGTTCAGAAACACTACTATCACTGTCAAGCTGAAATGGTGCTTCCGGTGTAGGAGTTATAAGTCCAACCCTTGCAAGCAACTTCCTTAAAAGCCTTCCACGGGGTCCAACTGCTGACAAAAATCCTTCATAGCGACTAACTGCCCTCTGTGCTGCCAGCCAAATAGGAAGATCACGATCTGATAGTTGGTCAACCCCCAGGAGATTTTCATAATTTTGTTCTTTATTAAAATATGACTGTTGAAAGAGAGACACTTCCTCAAGCCAAAGCTTCAATCTCCTAATCCAGTCTGCTGCTTCATCTTTCTGAGAAGCATCTTTGAAAGCCTGTTCTAGAGTAATAAAGATGAAGATTGTCAGACTGAATAATATATAACTCAATTCGAGAGAGTTAAAAAGTAAAAGATAAAACAAGTAACACCGTTCAAACTACAAGTGATACTTAATTACTTATGGATTAAATAAAAAAGATCAATCAATGATGCCTTGAAAGGTCATTTAAAGGATATCAGTGCAGTCAATGCCATTCGGAGAACCTTGTTTGTGTGCATTTGCCTTCTAATGTTGGAAAGTCATAAATGAAAGGGGAATAACCTCGTTGAGATTGTAATTAATCCATTTGCCAACTTTTCCCAATGGTTTTGATATAAAGGAGAAGATTCCTCGCAGGAGTCTTGATTGCAAGTAATCCAGCTTTTCAACAATCAATAGACCCTTTTGCCTCTCAGTTGCATATCCCCGCCTGTAAGAAAGAGGTCATTTCGAATCCAACATCTTACTAGTGAAAGCATATAGAAAGTACATGCACATACACAGACAAACTAAATTACCGGAATATAATTGCATTGGATTCAGATGCTTTCTTCCAGTCAACATATATTGGCAAAGTAAGGAGATAATCAGTGTTCAAGGCATTTGTCAACATCAAATCCCTAACTGATAGTTCTTCAAACTGAGCATCATCAAGAAGTTGCATAAAAGCTCTTTGAAAACGAGTAGCAACTGCAACTCTACAAACAATTTTTGCATTAATGTATTAATTTAACAAAAGAGTGATCTGAAAAAACAATTAGTGCTAATTATGGGCTGAATTTATAAGACTAACCTGGACTTGTCATCCGAATATCTCCTAACATTTTTAGCTGAAGAATTTAGAAAATTCCCCAAGTCCAGACTGTAATTAAACAACGTTTCAGATTCGATATTATCCCCGATCAACTTAGATCTTTCACCGTTGGCTACAACTTCCGCTTCTGAAACGGACGTTTTCTTTCTTTTTCCCTCCGTGGAATGAGAATAGTAATAATCGGTTCGCATTTGTTCCAAAATGCTTTTGTGTTCAGCGTGAAGGATAGAATCCAAACAACTGTAAATTTTACACCGTAAAAGGAAATTTCAAAGTTGAACGCAATAGAGAAGAAATCGGAGCAATTAAAAAAAAAAAAAACTTACGATGAGAGAAGGCGAAAGTGACGAGCATCTTCGTCTTGAGAATCGAACAGTCTCGAAACAATAGCATCCAAGAGCTCCGCCTTGGAAACCGGAATGTATTTCTGTCTATACACTTGAATTCTTGAAATCCCTGGTTTTTCTTCTTCTTCTTCTTCTTCTTCTTCATCTTCTTCATTTTTTGTTCTTGGAACAAGATCGTCGGTATCGCTCTGCGTTAATTTAACGCCGTCGTTTCTGGATTCTAATGTATCAGTGGATATGGCCCGGAGTCTCGGAGGAATACCGGGAACCTTGAGAGTGGCTGTGGTTCTTAACATACCGTAAGAAGAGGGTGAGCAAGCACCGGATAAAAGGTACCGCTTTAAGGACGATGATGGAGCGGTGACGCTGGTTAGAGTTTGCCAAGATAACATCAAATCGCGGAGAAAATTTTTGAAGAAACTCTCGCGGGTTTTTCGTTGAATCTTTTTTTTTAATTACTTTGGGCAAAAGGTAGTTGAGGAGTGGGGAGTGACGAGTAACGGCAGGAACTTTTGAAAGGAGACGCTTACGGCTGGAGGAAAGTAAATTGGATAAGGAAAATCGAGGGCCGATAATAGCTTTGGCCAGTATTGTTTTAATTTATTGCTTCTTTTTGGTTTTTAATTGTAATTTTGATGCGACGTAGTTTCCCATGAGGTCATGCAGCATCTGTTTAGGGATTGTATTTCATCTATAATTTTTTTATTATCATTTTATAATTATTTAATTATAATAAAATTTTATATAAAAATTCATTAATTATTATAAATGGGAGTTTCATATAAGCTTTGATAAATCATATGATTTTAAATTATAATTAATTATAACATAATAATTTTAGCTTATATGTAATGCTCTCCTATTATATGCAAGATTGTCAATATTATATTAAAAATTTTTAAAGTTACATAAAATATTATCGAGTGATATAAGAGGTTAAAATAATTATATTAAAGATTATAAAAAATTTTAAAATTATATTCAAAGGTTATCATAATTGTATCAATAATTATCAAAATTATATTAAATGTTGTTAAATATATATCATAAATTATAAAAAATATATAAAAATTTACAAAAAATTTATTAAAATTATAAAATATAAGAAAGTTACCAATATAGTTACTATATGAAAGGTCTTAAAAATTATATCAGCATTTACCAAAATGTTAGGAAAGTTCATAAAAACCGTATCAAATGTTATTAAATTATTACAAAATTTATCATATATCATTAAAATTATATTAAAAGTTACCAAAATTATATTAAAGATTGTCAAAATTATGTAAAAAGTTACCACAATAATATGAAAAGCTAAACAAAACATATCAAAGGTTATTAAAACAATTATCAAAATTATATCAATAATTATTAAAATTATATCTTATGTTATTAAAATTGTATAAAAAATTTTAAAATTATATCATAGATACCCAAAATTATACGATAGCTTACCAAAATTATATAAAATGTTAACAAAATGATATGAAAGGTTATAAAAAATTATATCAAATGTTATCAAAATTATTATAAATGTTATAAAAAATTTATTAATAAATACCAAAATTATATCAAAAGATTCTAAATTTGTTTAGAAAATTTCAAAAATTATATCGAATGTTATCAAATTATATCCTAGGTTAACAAAATTATAAAAGTTATCACAATTCTATTAAAATTTACCAAAATGATATGAAATGTTATCAAAATTATCACAAATTACGAAAAAGATATAAAAGGTTAAAAAAAAAAAAACTATGTTAAAGGTTATAAAATTTATACAAAATTACTAAAATTATATAAAAAATTACCAAAATTTTATGAGGAGGTTTATGAAATTATATGAAATGTTGCCGATGTCAAATGTTATTAAAATTATATAAAAAAAATTACTCAAATTTTATTAAACATTATAAAAATGATATAACAATTTATTAAAACTGTATAAAAGGTACATTATAAAGATGGTTACTAAAACTTTATGAAAAGCTATCAAAATTATAGAAAAAATTACCATATGGAAGATCTCCGAAATTATATCTATAATTTTAATTTAATATATTTTGCACGTTGAACAATAAATTTCACACGTTGTTTAGGTGATATGTTGCATTTATTTCATGCCTTAATTTTCTTATTCCATACCAAAGACTTAACTTTTTTATTGAAAGAAACAGTTTTTTTTTTTTTATAAGTAATATTGTATTTGACGATTCTCATAAATCTCACTTACTTTATCTAAAAATTCAAACTCTTATACCTAAACACACTTATTATTGCATGAAAAATTTTCACAACGCCACCCTTTGGTCATTCATCTCGCCAAATATGTATGTTTTTTAATTATGCCTATTAATGTATTAGTTCTCAGACTTTATTAGAATTTTTGTTCAATTGAGGTTTTTTTATTCTCAAAAATATTAAAAAATATTATTATTTTTTAAAAAATTTAAACCATTATTTTTATTTTTATTTTAAAAAAATATTAACCATATAAATTTTTAAAATTTTTAATTTTTAAGTCTCAATTTTAATATTACAGTAATTGATTAGTTAACATAAAATAATATTATTTTAAAAAATTTTGCATTCTATCCTTAATTTTCAATCTCTTTTCATTTAATTCATTTAAAAAAAATATTATGCCCTTAAATTTTTTTCAAATTCAGAACCTTTAAAAATCTGACTACCGTGTATATCATATAAGCTAGCAATCAATTGACAAAAAAAAAAAAAAAAAAACTTTATTAATAACAAAAACCGAAAGTATTTTAGTTGGATTCTAAAAAAAGTCGGGGTTTTCAGGTAATGGTGGAGTCACGCGGCAATCTGGACGTACAACAGTACGAAAACCAATGCGAAAAAGAAACGAAAAAAACAAAAAGAAAACTGTGAGAGAAAGGAAGGAAAGGAAAGAACTACCTCAGGAGTTGAAAGGTTAAAAAACGAAAGGAAAATAAAAATAAAAATAAAAAAGGAAAGGAAAAAAAAATCCAATTGGCAGGTTTTTTTGGTTCGCCATTTTCTCTCCAAATGCAACAAAAGGTAAAGAAAGAAAGAAACCCCACTCTTCTATCCCTAGATTCACTCACACTCCTTTACTGTCGCCTTAATTTTTCTCTAAATTCCATACCAAATTCTTTTTTCTCTTGGGATTGCTTCATCCCTTGATCACATCCATATTCCCAGTGATCAGTGAGTCTTCCCTTTTCCTTCTTGTTAATCATAAGTTATGGTTTGCTTTGATCTGTGTTTTTTGCTTCTGTACTTGATAGCTTGGAATTTCAGTCATTTTTACTGAATTCTTCAACTTCTTAATATTGATTTTTTTTTTTGTGATAGTTGATTGATTTTCTCTCGATGAAGAATTTGCGTTCTTATTGGTTTTTGAACTGAAATGAACAGCGTATTAGCAATGCATTGTGCACTGGTTTATTGTTGTGAAAAATTGATTATGTATATGTTGTTTCTATCCTCAAATTTCTTTATGCTATGAAAGCTATGCTGGTTTTAATCTAAGGGAAAATAAATTTAATGTTCTTGTTCTGCTACTATTTTTTGTTGCCAATTTTGATGGCTAAATTATCTGTGTGATTAGCAGGTACATTTCGTTTGGCAATCAGGTTTTTGCTTGGTTGCTTGGTATCTTCATATGACTAGATTGTACAGCTGAATATCCTTCTGGTTTCAATGGGCATACAGAAGATTTGCCGTTGGAAATCAGGGGTTAGTAGTTGCCGTGATCACATTCCTGGCTTATTAAAAGTTCAGGGCAAGGGGAAGGAAGATAACCCTGTCTATGGGGCAGACTCGGGCGATGATCTTGATGACTGTGACTTTGAGGGAATTAGCTGTGAGTTGGGCATGGTGGAAGGTCAGTTTTGCAGTATAGCATATGAACTTTTTGATCTACCCGATTTGAGGGAGATATTGTCATTGGACACATGGAACTCATGCTTGACAGAGGAAGAAAGGTTCTCTTTATCAGTCTACCTTCCAGATATGGACGAATTGACTTTTTGGTTGACTATGAAAGAGCTGTTCAGTGGTAGTGATATGTATTTTGGGAATCCCATGGATACATTTTTCGAAAGATTGAAAGGTGGATTTTATCCTCCAAAGGTGACGTGTCTCAGAGAATCCTTGCAGTTTCTTGAAAGAAGAAAATATTACCATGCATTGAGATCTTATCATGACAAAATGGCACAAATGTTCATAGACATGAGAAGGTTGTGGGATGAATGTGATAAGAGTGCTGGTGTTGAAGAAAGACTTTATATGTGGAGAACAAGGAGGAAATGCAGGGGTGCCAATTTGCTTGACCTTAATGCAGTGCCTAATGATGGATATCTGTTAAATGAGGATGTTAACTCAGATACAGTCATGTGCCGTTTACCAAAGAGAATGAAGACTTGGGAAAGTGTTAGAGCAAAAAACATTGTTGCCAGTCCATCTGCCAATGGAATGAATGTTGTTGCCCCAAATTGCAGCACAAAGGGTGTTCTGAAGGTTAAGACTTCTGGCAATGTGATTGTCAATCACAATCAAAAGATGGTTGTAGGTGACATATCGGAACAATGCCGATCAGTACCAAAAGGCCTGTTGAAAGTAGTTCCCAAAGTTCCTTCTGTCCTACCACAACTATCAAAAGTGTTCTCAAGAAGGTCACAAACAGCTTTGCTTGTTGGTGCTCGAGATTTACAGGACCACAAAGTGTCGCATTCGCCAGCATCTGCATACTTGGGAAATGCAGGTGGTTTTAGTGGGTCAACATTTCTATGGCAAAAGGTTGCTGGTAGCAAAATGAACCCTGAGCAATCTCCGTGTATGTTAAATTGTCAGGACAGTGCTTTAAGAAGCAGTAGATATTTACAAAACACTAGTGAAAATATAAGCAAGGAAGTTGACATCACTGATTTAGGTAAACATAAATTGTTTGAAGGTGACGAAGAAAGTGTCATTGGTTCAAGGAGATACGAATTTGATGGTCAGAGTTTGTGGCAGAACTTTGACATGGGAAAGAAAGGATCGTTTGAGAGATCCTTGGAATCATACCCATTTGCTGACCAATACCATGAAGGAGAAAGGCAGACCAGAATCTTGCAAAAAGAGTGTATCACCATTCTTCCAAGAGTTCCTGAAGCAGTCTCAAGAGATTCAGGAATTGCAAGTAGCATGCAGGAAAAGTTAATGGCTTTTCCGAACCAAATGAAGAGCCCAAGTGATTTTAATGTTGAAAATTCAGAGAAGCCAAGTGAACCTAGTGTTTCAGAGAGGCTTAAGTATGATCTTAGCCTTCCTTTGACATACAAGCGAAGAAAGTCTCAAGCAAAAAACTCATCAAACTTCACCAACTCACTAATAACAGGTACAGATTTAAGATCTGGTAGTCCAAAAGAATCAAACCAATCTTTGGGGGATAGTGTGAAGGCATTCAAGATAAAATTCATGGGTTGGGAAAATACTCCTTTGAACAATGAATCTTGAACAGCATGTCAAGAACAGAAGTTTAGTTAGCTCCTTCCTATTATAAAAGCCTGCCACACTTGTGGTGTAATCACTCTGTTAGAGGCTTCATCTCTATGTATAATCAGTATATTTTGCAGAAAGAGAGTTCTTATTCTCAAAGTCAGAATTTTGTCAATGCTTCTCCATATATATTTTCATTGTCTGTTGACTGCCCTTGCATTTCCATTTTCCAGTGGTATGCACTCTACAGTAAGAAAAAGGTTCAAGTTCATTGATTTAAAAAATAAAATAAAATAAAAAGTTAAGGGATTGGTGACTTTCGGCATATTTGGATGAAAGGTTTAGGATCAAATTCTATGTATTCCATCCATCAGTCCGGTAAAAGTTAAACAGCCTGCAAACTCAATAATTTATTCTGACATGATCTTGATTTCTTTGATCATCATGTTTTGATTATTAGATCATTCTAATAGTCAATTTAACATATTTTATTCATGCTCAGCATGGGACTGGATCATCTAAATCATAGACGAGCTAACTGCTAATATAACAAGGTGATCCATGGCTTATTTATATCTTCATCCATCAACAGAAATCTAAAATCATATATGTGGTTTGTCAATGACATATTGATCAGGTCACAATCAATTAGCACGCCCAAGATAATAATCGGATTGGCAACTAGGCAATTGGCATGTCAAAACAATGGTAGAAAGTCGAAGGAGGGAAAGCACGGGGGCATCTTATAAAGATCATTACGTCTAGTCGGCCGCTTCTTTTTTTTGTTTTTTTTAAACTTTTACTGTTTTACATTCTCAGCAATATTCCCTGTGTTTTCGGCACATTCTATTCCGATCAGTTATTCCATTCATAGCAAAACCATCATCAAACTATCCAAGGAACAGAGTATAATTTATTGTTTGGAAATTCCCAGAACCGACAAATTGACTTTAAAAAGGCCTAAATTCTCTAGTGGAGAACCCAACAGGAAAAGCTGAAGCATCTGTTAAAATGGGTACACCAGTGCTACCCCAACCTCAACCTCCATCTTCCTCTTCAAACAATCAATTCAACATGGCTTCTCACAACAATAATCCTTACCTCGCCATTTCACCAGTTCCATCATCTGGCAGGAGTAAGTTTTATTTAATCTTGAGTTACACAAGGCCTTTTACTTCTATTAATCGCTTATTATTGTTGATTGGATTGATTTTGGAACTGGGTTGTTGACTGATTGCTTTTACAGGGCCGATGGGTAGGTTATGTGATGCCCTGAACCGATGCGGGAAGAGGGCTGAGGCCCTTGCTGACAACGTTTGGAACCACCGTAAGTTTTTCTCGATACGATTATTTGGGAATAAATTTGACTTTCCCTGTATTTTTTTTAGTGTCACGAATTGTATCTGGTTCCGATTCTAACTTGTAATTTTATTGTCTGAAAACAGTTCTCTATGTTTATGTATGTGATTCTGGTTCTTACGTGCAATCTTGTTTGTCTGAAACCAGTGAGGATGAGTCCTAGTCTTGCTGATGCTGCAGTGGCAAGGCTTGCTCAAGGGACAAAGCTGCTTGCAGAAGGAGGGCATGATAGGTTGTTCCAACAGACATTTCAGATCTTGCCGGGGGAAAAGCTCTTACATACATATGTTTGCTATCTATCGACTTCCTCTGGACCAGTGATTGGAAGTCTTTACATATCCACTAAAAGAATAGCCTTTTGTAGTGATTATCCCCTCTGTTATTATCCTTCACCAGGGTACCAGCAGTGGATGTATTATAAGGTATCTCCTTTACTTTTGATTCAATATTTAGCTTTTCTTCGTGTCGACCTAATACTAAACATTTGCTGGGTGCCATGCCTCGCTTTTGTGGTTATAGTGTTTATTTTTTGTCTATAGCTACAAATTCAGTTACACTGAAACATTCAGCTATGGACAAAGGAAATAAATGGTAGGGTACAGCTTGTCGATTTTAAATCACATACCATACCCTGACACTAAAGTTCTGTTTTATTGTGGATTGAGTTCTTTTGGTGGGTTAATTTTACAACGGAGCATGGTGATTTCCTTTCTTTGCTATTCATAGCCAGCCTCTCTTTTTCTTTTTCAGCTCAAATAAATATATTTAATCACTTACCACCTCTACCCTAAGCTTTAAGAAGCTCAAAATTTGGTAACACACTCATGAATTGACTTGTAAGTTTGGTCAAACACCCAATGGTTATATCAGCATCAAACCCAAGTCCAGCACTGAAGTATTCAGCTACAGAGCAGCCATTGATTTGTCGTTTATTCACTCTGTCTCTGAGCAGCGTGGTTGCTATATGAGTTTAAACCTTTTTGTGCCATCTCACTTGGATTATTTTCAAGTCTCGTATATTATTTTCTTTATTATTGCTACTATTTTCATTTCAAGTTGTCTGGACTGAGTTGCAGCTGAATCTAGCCTTGTGAGTATTAACTTCTGATATTGCCATGTAGGTGGTGTTGGAGCTTGATAAGTTGGCAACAGTCGAACCTTCTGCAAACCGACTGAACCCTTCTGAAAAATATATTCATATTGTCACCAGGGATGGTTATGAATTTTGGTTTATGGGGTTTATATCATATGACAAGGCACTCAAGTCTTTAACTGAAGCTTTACATCACAATCTCCATGCATCACTACTGTTCTAAGAAAATTATCAGCTCTTAAAGTGCAGAGAAATGGCATCTCTGGCCATCGTAAATTTGCTAAAATGATATAGGCTAATCTGATAAAGAGTAATGGAGTGTAATAAGCCGCTCTTACCAGATTGATAATCTGTTTGGACACTTGCAGACTTGCAGTAGTTTGTCTTTGTATGATTAAATGCTATAAAGGATTTTTTCCAGTAGTATTATATTTATTTCTCTCTAGCAATCACTACGTGTCATGTGTACTCAAAATTCATTTTTAAGGTCGCCTTTGATAATTATATGGGATTATGAAATTAATTATTTATATTAAGAAGGAAATAGTAATAATTTTTATAATTATAAGTATAGAAATTAAAATTACATTTTTACCCTATTTTATTAGTAAATTATTTTGTGTTTAGTTTTAGGAAAGAGAAAAAAAAGTTTATATCTTGAAAATGAAAATCACTTTCTATCCTCAAATTTAATTTGTTTAAGACCTGAAGTATTAAAAAAGTTAATGAAAATAAAATGGACATAAAAAATTTTTCTAGTTAATTAAAGTTTGTTATGATTTATAGTATGAAGACAAAATTTAGAGTGTAACTCTAAGTTGAACATAATAAATAATTTCAGAATAAAATGATTGAGTGATGATGATTTTTTTAAAGCATAATAGAATTTTTTTTCTCATGTTCGACTGATTCGACCGTTGAACCAATGATTTAGTGACTCGGCCCTTGATTTGAATTAATCTTTTAATTAAATGGTTTATGCAATTAATTCAAAAAATCCATATTGATTCATCAGATTTTTTATTAATCTAGATCAATTAAATATAAATTTTTAAAATAACAAGTTGAATATTATTTTGATTTTTACTCCAATTAACTTAAAAATTGAAACATTTACTGGGATTAAAATAAAAGTATAACATAAATTATTAATTTTTTAACATTAATCGATTTCTTGATGGATCGGGCCGAGCTAAAGCATGGCCTTTTGAATTCTCCCTGATAGCGCAATAGAGATGCAACCGAAGTAGTAACAATTGGATCTTTTTCTTTTGTCTGTTTTAAATTGTAAGACGATTGAAAAAGTTAATTACCACCAACCAAAACACGGCTGTCGGCTGTAGCTCCGGTTTTATGTCTTATAAAACACGAGATTGTCACTGTCTTCCCCCACGTGAACATCCGATAACATGATAAAAATATCTTCCCATTGTTTCGACGTTACAGCCGCTTAAAGTCCAAAATAAACATTTACTCAACCCCGCATGCTTTTTGCCAATGGTCTATCTGTTTCTCTCTCCTGTTTTCTTTAATTCCTTTGTCGTTTTTACACAACCCTTCCAATAATAGGGGGGGTCATCCCAACATCACTTTGCCCTTTTCTTCAACCTGAGTAATGAAGGACATGGCGAGTCCACTGCTGTTTTTGGCTGCCTTCTTGTTACTTCTCACCACTGTTCCCCCAAAGGTATTGTACGACTTTTTTTTTTTGTTTTCTTAATTTGGGATTGTAAAATCTGTTTCCTTTGATTGTTCTGGGTTCTGATATCTATAACAACCTGTCTTGATCTTTCTCTCTCTAGGTTACCTTGTAAGTCTTCCTCTTCAAAATATTTTCTTTGTGTAGCTTGCTTATATATGATGAAAAGTTGTAACCTAGTTCAACATAAACTGAAACAATAGTTTTCTCAAGGGAGCCTTTGGGGAAACTTATATTCTGATACTGGATTCTTAGAGAGAATTGCTGTTAGTTTTGCTTAAATCTTTGGCTGCCATCATTGGTGTCCTAGATTAGCTATTGATTAGATTGTTATAATTGTGCTTCGAGGGTTCTATATTTCCATTTGTTGCTATATTAGGCATGTATAAAATTTTAAAAGTTGCATTTGGAACTTCGTTGATACTGTATTGTCAGCAGGTGATTGCTGAGGGCCAACTTTCGGAGGTCAAGCTTAACTCTCGAATCCTTCGGGTATTTTCCCAATTGAATGTCTTTAATAAAAAATAAAAAAGGGTTTCTGTAGTCAAATAATAAATCAATAGTTCTTTACTCTCACCATGATCATGTAGGATTCAATTGTAAAACAAGTAAATGAAAACCCTAAGGCTGGATGGGAAGCTGCCCTGAATCCTCGATTTTCTAATTACACAGTAAGTTGGCTACTTGCAGGACCTTGTCAGTCATCTTTTTCTCTCTGAGGCATATGCTTAGCGGACTTGTAATTTTTGGTGCACAGGTTGGCGAGTTTAAGCACCTTCTTGGAGTCAAACCAACTCCCAAGAAGGAACTTCTGGGTATCCCTGTTATAACTCATGACAAATCCTTAAAGATACCGACTAACTTTGATGCTAGAACAGCTTGGCCACAATGTAGCACAATTGGAAGAATTCTTGGTGAGTTATGTTCTGGTTTATAAAATTTTGTGACTTTTGAACAAAGGACTGATGATTTCTTTCTTATGATGTATCAATTCTTGGATTGATTTCCATGTTAAAGATCAGGTAAATCCATTTTCATTCCTCTCAAATGTTTTATCTCACATTTATGTAAATTCTTAGTATGTTAGTTGCTGATGGTTTAGGGTCACTGTGGTTCTTGCTGGGCTTTTGGTGCTGTTGAATCACTATCTGATCGGTTCTGTATCCATTTTGGCATGGTAGATGGAATTTTTTTTTTTTTTTCAGAAAATGAAACAGCATTTACAGTTCATGGCAAATTTTTATGTACTCACAATATATTTCATTGCAGAATATATCTCTTTCTGTTAATGATCTTCTTGCATGTTGTGGCTTTTTATGTGGAAGTGGCTGTGATGGGGGTTATCCAATCTCTGCATGGCGATACTTTGTGCGTGATGGTGTTGTTACTGAGGAGGTATTATGATTACTATAATTATCATAAGTATTCCTGCTTACTGAAGACATATCATCATATTCTTCTTTGTTACTATTATTGCTCTTTAGCCTCTAATCATGGACAATTTGTTTCTTATCTTTAGTTTTATTATGAAAAACTTAAATAATAAGATTGTCTCATTATGAATTCATGATTTCGCACTCTTAAAGTAGACCTTACAAACTTCTTACCTGATCTAGTACTGAAAATTATTGCTTAATTTTGTTTGCCTCTTATTCTCAGTTGGATCTGTTGTTCTCTATTTTGTATTTCTGTGTGGAAATGTACTTTTTCCTCACTAATAAATAGATTCTTCCTCTTGCAGTGTGATCCATACTTTGATGATACTGGTTGTTCTCACCCTGGTTGTGAGCCTGCATATCCTACTCCCAGATGTGTGAAAAAGTGTGTTAATGGAAACCAGGTCTGGAGGCAGTCCAAGCACTTTAGTGTTGGTGCATATAGAATCAACTCAGATTCAGCTGATATCATGGCAGAAGTTTATAAGAATGGACCTGTTGAGGTCTCCTTCACTGTTTATGAGGTAAGGAAAGCACTCGTACTTTTCTAACTGAATTTGCTGCATCTCATGGTGAGCGATTTCAATGTGGTGAGCTTGACTTTGAAATTAGTACTTTTACATGAATCCCAAGCAAGAGCTGGCATCTTTTTGGCCCTTAACTATCAGATTTGTTGTCAGCCATGGTTTTCCTTGACAATTGCTCCTTATTACATATAACTTTAACCCCAAAATGAATGAAAATATAATTATTTAAGAGATATGGTATTTGATGTTCTAGCTTCTTCATGGTATTACAGGATTTTGCTCACTATAAGTCAGGAGTTTACAAACACGTGACTGGCAGTGTTTTGGGAGGTCATGCAGTTAAGCTTATTGGATGGGGAACCTCTGATGATGGGGAGGACTACTGGGTATATTCTGATGGTTTTTTTTTTCGTCAAATATCTTATAATCATATAATTAATTGAGTTAAATAGTTTGGTATTCTACTTTCTCCCTATTTCAGCTTCTTGCAAACCAATGGAATAGAGGCTGGGGTGATGTATGTTCTCCATCAAACTTTTCCCAAAAACTATCTTTAGATCGCTTAAATATTAATCATCATATCTTGACTTACAGGATGGTTACTTCAAGATTAGAAGAGGCACAGATGAGTGCGGTATTGAATCTGCCGTGGTAGCTGGTTTGCCTTCCACCAAAAATCTTGTTATAGAGGTTGCTGGTATGGACGCTCTCCAAGATGCTTCATTTTGAGAGTAATTCATTTAGACAGGGCCTACTCATTAATCTATCAGTGCACGAGCTGCCTACTACCATGTTTGATTTTCAAATGTTATGCTTCACCCTGCAAGAACTTCATCCTCTATACATACGTTTTCTGCTTCATCTTTTATAGATAATGTACCCACATGAATTCTGATCAACAGCCACTGTCATTTGGCCTGATAGTTATAATCAGAAATGGCTTGTTACAGCAGGATATGATTATTTTTTTTTTTCATTTCCAGTTTGAGAGGATTTTTAACCCTGTTGTTCTCTTTGCCGACCCCCTCAGGTTGTGTGACTGGGTCCTTGGGAACTTGCTATTTGAAACCACGGATTCCTTCTTAAGAAAAAAAAAAAAATTTACAATCAAATTGCCGAAGTCATGATTTTATTGATAATATATGATGATTTTTTTTATTTCGTTCCGAGATTTTTCCCTTTTTTTATTGGATGAAAGAGATATTTGAGTCCTATTCATAGAATAAAGAGATAAATGCGTGTATTATTAAACCAAATGTTTGGATTCTTTTGAAAAAATTTTATCATGTCATTGTCAAACATCATCACCAACGACAAAATAATGCCCTTTTTGATGAAATACTTTTCGACGGTCTTACGCTAGCAAAGTGGTGATAAGATCATATGATTATTTTACACATGGAAATCAGTTTTAACACTGATACGAAAAGTGTGACACAATCAAAGACAACGATACAGCGAGCTCAGAAAATAGGGCAGAAGGAACAGAGTCGTTGAAAACCTAAAGTAAGAAGTGGAGTTTGATTTGACATCTTTTGCAAGCATTTGTTGTTGACTTTCGATTACCTGACAGAGTGAAGAAAAAGGACAAAAGTATTTAGACAGTACTCCGCAATAATTGTTGATATTCCGTCTTGTTTGAATATTATTAATTTTAATATATTTAATATTAAATTTTATAGTTTTTACTATAAAATAAAAAAAAATCATAAAAAATAAAAGTTTTAGATATTAAAAAAAGGGAACATAATTTTATAGCATCTTAAAACAATTGACATATTAAAATTTAATTTTTTATAATTTTTAGTATAAAAAAGGTATTTGGACATTTTCACTAAAATTATGAGTCATTTTATTTGGATTTAGGATTTGATATAAATGTGAATTCAATTTTTTTTATATTACTTGGATATGAATTTCAATTTCAATTTATCATTTACAATCCAACTCTCAATCAGGGTATTTCTGTTTGTGTTATCACAAGTTTTGTACTCTTACATTTCTTCATGCTTTTGTAACAACTGACTCAGCATTTCATTAAAAAGTGCTACTTTAACCTGCAAGCTGAATGTGAAGGAGGAAAGTACACAAATTTTCAAATGACAAAAGTTTAGATTTTGAGATGAAAAGAGAAATCGTAATGTATGAGGCTTTTTCTGAGATTTTTACAATGTTGTGTGTTTTGTCCTTGGGGCTTTGAATTGCTTAGATATTTCAAATGTGATGTCTTTACAAAGATGTTTTGGACTATGATTTGCTTGGTGTGAAAATTTGAATTATTAATTACTACGATAGTCAAATTGATTTGGATAGTTCATGCTTTGATTTAAGTGTTAAAAAAGAATGCAAACACTTCCACACCAAAGTTCAAATGTTTTAGTCTTTCATGATTTCCTCGTAAAAAAAAGGTTAGATTTTGTGTTTCAAAAAGGCGTTAAAAAGAATCCAATTGGGAACAAGATAGCCACCTAACCCCCCCCCCCCTCTCAGCATGCCATTGTCAAACTAGCTACTGTATCAGCATTTGTCATGAAGTGCTTTTGTTTTCTTCCAATGAAAAAAAAAAAAAAGGGAAATCTGGAAAATATTTTGGAAACCATGCGCTAACCTTTTTGGAAAGCTACATTCTTCTTAAAGCCTTAGAGGATTAATGATTACAGTAATGGGTGTATGAGCCATGGTTTTGTTTTTTAAACAAATCTTATGTGAAACAATGAGCTGAAGATTTTGGTAAGTGATAGATACATTTTGGCTTTGACATTTTGCGGGAAAGCCGGAAAGTAACATACCACCTTTTCTTCTCTCTTGTCAAATTATGAGCACATGTACGGACATGGTTTGGTCTTTAAACAAGAATGTAATCTTAAAAAATCTATCCTGATCTTTATGATTGATAAACATTTTATTCTTTGAAAATCTTATATGCTTAAAAGTTAAGAGAATTTTGCACGGGTTAAACCAGATTGAAAGCTTCTTTCAAACAAGGAAAATCATTTTGGAAGAAAACAAACGTAATAAATAACAAGAGCCAGCTGGTTCTATAAGCGGGACAGGAAAAAAAAAGCATATTCTCTCGCGCAGGTCTTATCCTGACACTGCCATGCTAGCATTGGCAGCATTTCCATTTACTTTTGATTAATGAGTTACTGAGTTCTGATGAATTTCATTAAAAAAAAACCCAAAAAAGGACGGGGAAATTTTGTATCAGCGGGTGGTTTGATTCTTTCTTTTTTTCCTTTTTGAAACCCGAGCAAAGCAAAGAGAGATTAGAAACTAGGGGCTCTCTTCGCGCTTTGCATTTCTCCAAGTTATCCCAAAGAAGAGAAGATTAGGTAAGCAATGGCCAGGGGGGTTGGAGCATCGAAGGCCAGCGGAAAAAAAAAAAATCCAACTGTACTCCGCCTTCGCCAGACACGTTTTAGCCACAGACATAATGAAATATCAAATATTTTAATTATTGAAAAGATTTAGATTAAATAAAATAATAATAATTCATAGTAATTCTCTAAAGACACGTCTTTCACGTTGCAACTGCGTTCGGGAAGGAAAAAATAATAATAACATCACTCCGTCTTTGGATGGATTGATACAAGAAGGCCCCCTTTTTTATCTCTCTGTTCTGTTTTTGTGGTTTTAAGTCGACAAATGCCCCAATAAAATCATCCATCTTTTTTCCTTCCATATCTCTTTAGCGGCTATCCTTTCCTTTCCTTTCCTTTCTCATCGTCCGAAGCTAAAAACTTTTTCTTTTTTCTCTTTTCTTTTTGTGTCATTGGTTAATATCAAGGAAAAGGGTCTAGTTCCAATCTGGAAAGTATTGAAAGTGAATTTTGTTCATTCCACTTCCAATATCTCTTCACCCTTTTTCTTGGCATTGTCTCCAGTGAAACCTTTTCTTTTTCTGGCATTGGGTTCCCTATAATCATCAAGAAACAAGTATAGTTGGAATCTTGGGAGGGATTTAAGTGAATTTTTTTCTCTTTACTTTTCTCTTTGCATTGTATTCTCAAGTAAAAAACTGTTTTTTTCCTTTTATATTCTGGTATTGGGTTCCTTAGAAATTTGAAGGAAAAGGGTAAAGTTGGAATCTTGAGGAGGATTGAAGTGTTTTGCATGAGAAGATGTCGATACCAAAGGAGCCAGAGCAAGTGATGAAGATGAGAGGAGGATCGGTGTTGGGTAAAAAGACCATTCTCAAGAGCGACCATTTCCCTGGATGCCAAAACAAGCGCTTGTCTCCCCAGATCGATGGTGCTCCCAATTACCGTCAGGTTCTTTACCTTAATTATATTTTTTCTCTTTCTAGAGATTTCTTTTGCTACATTTTTGTTTTCGAGAATTGATAGGAAGGAGCATCTAATTTCAATTTTGCCTTTTTAGCTGGAGTTCTTATCTTTTTATTTACTGCTTTCTTGGACATCTTATCTAAAAAACAGAAGGGATTGCAAGATATGTGCCTATTGTTTTCAGGAAAAAAAAAGGAATTGAGAATTAATTATGAACTTTGTTTATCCTCATATTGGCACTCCAGCCGTAATTATGAAATCTTTCACTCAATTTATTCTTATTACTTTCTTTCAGTTAACATTTTGATTATGTCCACATGTCTATTTAACAAGTTTGTCTGGACACAATAACACGTTAATAAGTGAAAGGGGAAAATAGTTGATGTCCTTCCTAGTGAATTGCTCATATTGTATATTGCTTAGAATTACAAAAACTGGGGGACTAATATCATAGGTGACTTAAGTTCTAATTGTATTATTAGACTGACTTATTAAATTTCATGGCTTACTATGCCCTTAGTTTCATCTTAACTGTTATATTTCATGTATCTCTTTAAGTATCTTTTATGATGTGGATGCTGCCATTCTTGCATATTAGAGCACCAGTTTGAATGGATAACTCTTAGTTTATGGCATGATCTGGTTAAGTTTCATGTTTTTTTAACTGTTTTCCTTTGCCTTTTATTTTTGGTCTGCTATTAACAGGCAGATTCATTGCGTGTTCATGGTGTTGCAATTCCAACAATTGTTGGAATTCAAAATGTTCTTAAGCATATTGGAGCCCAAAAAGATGGGAAGCAAGCACGTGTTCTTTGGATTAGTCTTCGGGAGGAACCGGTAAAATGAAATCTCCACAATTGATTTCTGTTTGTTGAAAAGTGTGTGGACAGACTTCTTTTTTTAGTTGACATTTGGGATACTTTGATTGTCTACTGAAAACATGATGCTTTTATCAAAATAATTTTGAGAATTGTACCTGGCTGAACCTGCTTCATCTAATAAACAATTATTCTCTTATGCATTCTGTCGATACCAGTTGCCATAGATGCTAGGCCAACTAATAGATTTAGGTTGTAGGTCTTTGTTACTGTCATCTCAAATCAGTTGCCTTCATTCCATACCAAGAAAGGTTCTTTTTTTTTTTTTATCATAATGTTGATGAATTAACTTGGAACTATCAGTTCTCTCCTTCACACCCCCATCCTCCAAAAAAGAAAACAATTTTTTTTTTGCCAACAGAAAAATCATATCTTATTGCTTGTTATGGTGTTGCTGATGATATATTAGAAGTACAATACATGCATTCATTATTCATCAAAAACTTTATAATGAAGACCTTGATTGTGGTGCACATCTTGTTTTTACACTTTTTAAGAGATTGCAAATTGCTCAATTTGCTTATTCTAATTTATATATAATTTCTTTGAACTTAAATAGGTTGTGTATATTAATGGGCGTCCCTTTGTTTTGCGTGATGTGGAAAGGCCCTTCTCAAACCTTGAATATACGGTATGTTAGCATATGTAAACTTTATACGTATTCATCTATTTTTGACATCTGGTTTCTGGCTTTATTATTGTCATTTTTTTTTTAATTTCATGAACTACTGCATTCTGGAAACTGTGATGTAATGTTTTTACTTGCGAACTTAGTGCTAATAAGACATCAAATGCACTCACCATGTGGGAGCATTGAGTAGATAATGCAAATGGTAGCAATAGAATGCCTTGGTAGCTCTAATATGTGTGCTTTAGAGTTAGTGTTTCTATTATCAACTATTCATCGTGAAGAGTTTTTAGTTTACTTTGTCCCATGTGAGTATATGA